TTGAACATTTTCATAGCAACCTTAATAAAAGGACGTGACTTCTTGGTCTCCTGGAAAATGTAGGGTTTGACCTTATAGAATGAGAGCGGTGGTAAATGCAAAAAAAATAATTTTGATAAAGGACGCGTTGTTTTTGTTTTTCACCCACTCCTACGTCTGTTTTTGTTAGGTATATTACTAAATATAAATACTTTTTGATATTCACAAAAACGGTGTTGGATTATTAGTTAACACAGTTCTGAAAATCATGCTAACACAATTGATTCTGAATTGAACTGTGTAATGTTAAATCAAAACGATATCCAATTACTTTCAGCTTATCCATTGGTTCATCAGTTGGCGTTAAATTATCATCTAATGGTCGAACATAATGAAAAACGAACGCGAAGCGTTCACTAGGCGATAATGATGCTATCGAAATCCACAGCGTAATCCATTTAATTGCTCTCCCTTTTCCCGCTCACTGGTATTAACAAACAATTTCAGTATTAATCGATTCACTGTTTTGGTGTTGTTGTCATGAAACATATATGAGCATGTGAAACGCAAGCATTTTAAAAACACAAACTAGCTAAATTTTGTGTGCATATAGTGTTTGGGAAAGCTCGAGTAAAATTCAAAAGAAATTGGCTGAATTTTCTGTTGGGCCAGGCTCGGGATAGATGCAAACAGCAGTCCACGTTATATGGAAAATTGAATACGTAATTAAAAAGACACTAAATCATGGCATTTAACCTCCTTTCTGTAATTATGTAGTTGAGATGTGACACTAGCTGTTGGAAAGATATGTTTTTATGAAATGCAATAGTGAGCTCGGGCTATATATGATCCCCTTTAAACAAATTATTATAAAGAGGAATATCAAACGAGTCATTATGTCCGCATAAAAAATGTGACAAACCGGACAAAGATCAGCAGATAGCGTGTACCTCACCTGTAATGTAACGGGCCATATTGTCAAGGCACTGCAGAGAAAGGGTGTACTTATAAGACTTATTTCTACACCAAAAGTTCGATATGAGTTAAGGCCAGTAAATGACTGGTTAGATCCTCTATTGTGGGAAGAATTATATAGGTATGACAAAGAGATCCGTTATTACAAGAAATAAGGAACATGTAAGGACCGTAAGGTACAACAGGCCCGATAAATCAGCCGTCGTCTTGAGATGAAGGACATACAACAAATTTTGAAGACACAGGTACTTGTGAGGAGACCAGAGTTTTATAAGAACATGAGGCGGGAAGGATTGGTCGTCGAACAACATCGAAATAATATGAAACATGAAGAAGACCATGGTTGCCCCTTATAAAGGACAAACAAAGGCGTGAGAGGAGAATGTGAGATATACCACTGCAAAGGTTTGGAAGTGCATGTAACGGCATCGACGATACCCTTTATCCTATTGCGCATGTACGGAGTCGCACGCAGCATTGTGAAGGACCTAGCTGAGGCAATACTATCTACCACGCAAGCGAAGCCTCCCATCCTACTACGCAGGTCCAGACGCACGCGTAGTGGCAGGCGGCTTCAGTTGCGGCAAAGCACTTGTACAGTCATCATTGAAGATGCCGCCAGTGAAGAACGTCGAAAAGTTTGGAAATTGGATGTGATTAGTTATAAAAGCCATTGCGGTAGGTCTCAGGGGACGTTAAATATCAACACAGACCATGGAAGTTTTAAAACTACTATACAAGCTTTAGATTTTATTTTTATAGACGGTAGTTTTCCCTAATTTGCAAATACCTTGATTTAAAACTGAACAGCTAGGATGAATCCAATTCTTACAGTGAAACAGTGATACATGTTGCATTCTGCTTCTTTTTTAAATTTCATCTTCCTTTCAACGATAGTCTTCATTTCAGTTTAATATTATTCTTCTTGCGAAATAATACATTATAGCCCATAACCATTTTTTGAACTATTCCATTTCGCCTCCATAAGAGAAAGATTCTTGGTAGAACCTAAGAATTATTACTGTTAACAGTTTATTTTTGTTTACATTTCTGGTTAGTTGTGGCCTTCAGTTAAATAAAAATCAAACTTCATTCAACTTTGGGGGCTTCAACACTCCACTAATTCAAGTAAGCTGAAACGATATTTATAATATTCTGTTTTTGCACAAACACAATTAAGAATAGTCTTAATCTTCAAATTTAACTACCATTTGCTGCAATTTTTCATTACAGTAGATACATCTGAAACGAGTAGAATACAACTGTAACAATTTGCAAACTACACTGTTCCTCGTGCAATGTCGTCGTTGCGGACCTTCTATTTGATTGTCTGAAATTTGTCTGTTGTAACTCGGCATGAACAAGCAGTGGAAGGACCTGATACGGAACGATATTTGAATAGTCCTCTCCAGGGCTTCAAACCAACATTGAAAGGATATGCAAACTTACCTTATCTCTACCCATTAGGAACTCTTTAGCAGCGCCACCATTGTTTATATAACGCTAAGCCATCTCGAGAGTTAAACGATTTGCAATTGTAGTGGGTCTAAATTATTCCAAACTCGCTTATGAGGTGATTTAACATTTAATGCATACGGGAGACATAAGAGGGAAAGTGCAATATGAAACAACATCTAACTGAAGTGTGTGATATAAATTTTTATTTTGTGTTTATCTGCTTTTGTCACTGTGAGATATTCAGTAAGGCAGTAGTACTTTTCATAAATATAAACCATGATTGTTCCTTTTGTCCCAAGAATATATTTAAGCCTTTTTTTAAATCTATTTCAGATGTTGCGTTCACTGTTCTGGGTATTAGATTTGTTAATTTTATTAGATGGAATCTATAACAAAAATAAACGAATAAGTATACTAGGTTGTTTAATAACATCGTTAAAAGGTTTTTACAATAATTGTTTCTGACTAATTTTTTATTGACTTGCAACATGATGAAGCCTGTAGTATGATCAAACTCTCAGAAGTTCCTTTGAAGAAAGCATCGCCTGCCTTTAATACATACATGAGAGGCTGCAATATCCATTGTACTATCCTGACTTGGCGCCACCAGAGTTACAGAGTACTAAAAATGTCACCAAAAAGCTTTTTTGTAACGCGAGTAACGAGTATCCGCAAGCTCACTATTCCTTCATTTCACGCCAATCTACGTCTTCCACAATATCTTCTACCTGATTGAGTCCATCCATACAATCAATGTAACCATCTTCCTATGTGAAACTTTTAAAGATTTTCTTTTTTATAAGCTTTATGATCTCGTACTTGGTTCAATCTCGATATTTAAATGGGTCTTCGTAAATCTTCATCTGCCCTTTTTTAAGTAACCCACGAGATAAATTGTAAATGAATTCTTTACTACTGCGACGAGCCACTGATTTATTGGGAACCTCTGTATTCGTAGAATTCTCCTTCTGATACAACTATTTTTTTACTTAGGCGCAAAGTTTCTGGAGTAGCCCCCTCATGTAGCTTCCAGCTTTCGATCATTCTCCTCCAAATAGGTCACTCCTGATAGTTTTTAACATTTACTCAATACATGGGTTGCAGTTTCCTCCTGGTAGAACCTGCACAGACAAATGTCCAATTAGGAACCTTAATATTACTATTCTGATTAAGTAGGTCTTTAACCCATCCAATGGTACTTTTCAAAACCAAAACTTGGTATGCTCTATCCAGAGGATCAAAGAGGATCTCCATAGGGTTAAGGTTTCAACAACCCTTGTAAATCTTTCTTCCTAGTAAAGACGACTAAGGCGATTTGGAGAGGATAATTGTCCCTTTTACTTTTTCCTACACCATTAACACCGCACTAAACCCATTTTTGTACACTCTGGAAATTTCGGTTACCCAAATCATTCGCGTATCTATGCTAGACCCCTTCTACGAGTAATTTTATGTGTGCTTTCTAGAACTGCACACAGCAAAGACAAAAGAACTTCTCCGTATGTATTACCTCTAAGGTTGATTCTGGTCCATTTTTAAGTGGTCATTCCACTGGACCAACTACCTACATACAAAAATACTGGGAGGATCCGTTTCAATACGATTTCACCACGAAACAACATTTTTTATATATAATTTAAAATGGTTCGACCTAGTGATCTTCTTATTTGATACACATCTGACTTTTTTTGGAATTTAATATATTTACACATGCAAGAAATGATATACAGGATGAGAGGTACTCTGTAAATTTTAGCATCTGAGTTCCATTGGTTATATAAAACCTCTGCTGTTTCTTACAATAAAAAGAACTATATAGTACACAATTCGGGTATGTTTTGCAGCTAATTATGTGTAGATATATGTATAGAATGCCTTGCTCCTATGTAGAGAGCGAAATGTAAAGAACCACACCTTCTAAAAATATTTATTAGGTGAAAGTGGATTGGGTACAAGGTAATAGCTAGGTAAAACTTAAATTTGAATTGCATACAATAAAGTTAATATGAAATTTAAAGCTATAAATGTTCTCAAACAATACATTTTCATTACAACTACGTTTCGATTCGTTATTAATATGTGAGGAATACAATCTCGGTATCTACGCGATATTCTATTCAATGATATTAATTACACTAGGTATTCTTCCTTTAAATTACTTTATCTAAATGTGTTGGGCAAGGTTAACTTTTCGGTCGTGCTTGAATGAACAACCTTGTGGAAAATAATAATAAAAGGATAGGCTCATTTATACTCAGCTATTTTTGGTGATTTGTAAACACATCAAACAGTAAAAAAAAATCGACATCACATACTTACAACAAAATTGCCCGAAATGTGTCGAATATATGTCAAGATTTTTAAATCAGAGAAGTATTTTACTAAAAATATAATTTCATCCTCCTGATATATTCGTCGCCACCTTTATTTTAAATTTTAAGGGATTTTTTAATATACGGCATACATGAATAGTTAAATTAGAGAAAAACAGACGAAACTAATGTTGCACTAAACAGAATAATTGTGTTTGCTTATAAAAAAATATGTTCATTACATCAATGTATAATGTTTGTTTTTTTTTGTTGCAGGGGATTTGGTAAACAAGGATATCAATGTCAAGGTAAATATTTATTTTCTTTGTGCATGTATTTTAATTATTTTAATCTAAATGTATAGCTGAACTCATTTAATTTAATCTTTAATCAAAACAAAAAATTGAAATTTTAATACTAGTTGTTTAGTTATTCTCGAAAAGAAGTCTGGTGAGCGAGGTGGTCATAAAAACGGTCCATTGTTGGCAATCCACTGGTCATCAAACAGTTGTTGCAAAAAATTGCTAACAATGTAACTGTTGCCAGGAGGGGCACCTCATGTTGATAAAATACTTATCTGTAATCATTGAAAGGTAAATTTTCTAAATAGTTATTTTCAAAATTTTGTAAAATATTTAAGTAGTCACCTACAAAAAAAATTGGCTTGAATACCAAACCAACATTTTAGTAAATGAGAAATGTTTATTCATAAATAAAATGAAATCGACTGGGTTTAGGTATGTGGTAACTTTAACAAAGTTACACTCAATTGTAGTGCAGAATGCGAATACGATAAAAAAAATTGGGGATTTCTATTTAAAATTTCGAGTTTTCCACATTTTCTGAACTTCATATTCGATAATTTTTTTTTGACCACATTGTATAAAAACTGGAAAATTTTTATGACAAAACCGATAAATTAGTTTCGCACAAAAAATAAAACTGCGTTTCCGGGAAAACTAAATTTTGCTGACAGTCTGCGTCTGTCAATTTTTGCCTAAAAATCAAAATATCTCGAAAACGGTCAATCCTAAGTATGGAGTGTGCTATATGTTTCAAATTAAAAATAAATGCTTTTTCCAAAAATGCAATAGTATATACAGGCTGTTACAAATTCGCTTCTCACTACAGGAATCTCGGAAACGGTAAGAGGTACGAAATAGCTTAAATGGGGGCAAAGTTGCGTAATCAGGGGACCAACATTATCCCTCTAAATAATCAAGGCTAACATGATTAGTTTTCGAAATATTTGAAAAAGAAAACGAAATTTTGGAAATCCGTTTTTCTTTAATTTCAGTCTTATTTGAGGGTGATATTGAAAAAAGAACACTTTCTCAAGGCCACTTTTTGCCGTTTATCGAATGACCTAATCAATTATTATATGTAACCTTTCGTCCCTCGAGGACCATCATCAACTTCATTTTTTTAAATACGACCCTGGAAATTTTATTACATTTTTTGCAAGCCTTTATGACCTCCCAATACTGTACTGCCCCAGCCCGAACCAGATTCAGCCGTTTTGTCTCGAAAAATTAATCTTCAGTGTATTCGTTCCAAATTTATCTACATTTTTTATTTAGATTTCTTTGTTTATTGAATTATCGTACACTGTAAGTGTCGTTATACCCTGTGAAATCCATCTAGTTATTTAAACTATTACCACCAAGGCATAATGTTGATCCCCTGATTACGCAACTTTGACCCCATTTAAGCTACTTCGTAGCTCTTACCGTTTCCGAGACCCCTGTAGTGAGAAGCGAATTTGTAACAGCCTGTAGGGGTTCCATTTAAAATAAGAAAGTTGATATCGACTTCCGGTTTAATCGGAAGTACGATGACGTTGAAAATATTTTAGCTTAGTAGGCCCCACGGCCTGTATCACACCACCATAATTTCAAAAAAAATCCTTCGAGCGGTTTTCCGGATATCCATCGATGGAGTTTGTGGTGAGACACCCTGTATAATCATATAATTACTACTTGACAATTTACGTGACTTAAGTTGAGTTGATAAGTTACCTCAATATTCATTTCAGTTCCTCTGTTTTTTGAAAAACAGACAATAATTCCCTTTGCGTCTAAACTTGTACATTTGTCTGAAAAAATATTTTCTCAGTTACAATCAAAACCCCAGTCCCAAACATTTCGTTTTACTGAATCAACAAAACGGTTTTATTACGCTACATACAGCTATAGGACCACCTCTTTGTTGTTTTAACTTATTTAATTGAAAGGCAATCTACATTGTTTGTTTTTTAGTTTGCAGTTTCGTCGTGCATAAAAGATGCCATGAATACGTAACTTTTACCTGCCCTGGCGTGGATAAAGGAGCGGACTCAGATGTGAGTATGTTTTGATTTAAATTTAAATTGCGTGGGCATATTCTGTCATGTTATAAAAAAGCGGAGCCGTTAAACATAGAATGTTTTTTGATAATAATAAATTATGTACATCTTCAATGTTCAAGTACATCTTCAATAATGTTATGTTTGTGTATTTAGAATGTCCACTATTGTTACCAAAAAGGACTCTGTTAAAGACGTATATTAAAAGAAAAAATTATAGTGTATTATTGTTTCGAATGAATAATGTACTTATAAAAACAACTTTTTAATTTTCAGGACACTAGAACTCGACATAATTTTAAAGTGCATACATATTCATCTCCTACATTTTGTGATCATTGCGGTTCATTATTGTATGGAGTGATCCACCAGGGAATGAAATGTACAGGTAATTTCTTTTGCACCCCTTAATTTTTTACATGCACTTAAAGTTAAGGTAACTATAAGATTCATTTTGCATGTTCAAACATAATTCCACTGCATGCGTTTCATAAATTACTGCTATATTAACGTCTATATTACTATCAAACATGCTTTCTTTAAAAAAAATGGCACTTGCTTGTATAAAAGCTAAAAAATACCATTATATTAAAAAGTCGCTAATAAAATGTATAATGCTTGCTCTGTTTTACGCAAATATCGATTATTCATTTGTAAATAACTTCGCTAAAATTTTGACGAGGTTTCGTGTGGCAGATATTCGTTCTCTTCTAGCCCCGATATCGATGAACTTATTAACATTTTAAGTGTCTTAGGTGAGACGATATCCCGATATAGGTTAAGTGTTTTTATTTTGTTTATTAAAAATATTTATATATCTTGTTATTACAATTTGTTAGTCCATTTCTGATAAATAATTGGGAAAATCCAAAAAAAAAAATTTATAATGCTTCTTTTGTAATCCGAAACTGTGTGTGGTTTCTTCTAAAATATTCAATTTTTTTTTGGCAATCGTATAATATTTTGCATGTAAATATTTGTCCGTCTTTACATTTTAGTTATTTTTGGTTTTAACAATACATCTGTCAGTATAAACCAAAATGGATATGAGGCATTCTAGTAAAGCATAAACTTCAGCCTTGCCTAATACATCTAAATCAGTTTATATCGATCCTACTTATATAATCTGCGAAGATCATATGTAAAGAGACGATACTGCAAAGTCATGGAAAATTTGATGCTTTTTTAGTGATGTTCCTCCTTTGATATCGAAACGTTTCGAGCAATCACTTGCTAAACCCTTAGAGACTTTTACAGTGTATGTGGGTGAAGGTCATAGACTTGCACGCCATTCTTTCATGTGACCTAATCGTGTTGGTTGATCGATGTTTTTGCTCTAATAAGCATTTTAATGTTTTTTTAAGATTTAGCAAATATATTGCAATATATCCAGTCTCAGAGAGTTCTTAAATAGACTAAATTCCTAATCACCATTGAAGTCTTTAGTTTTAACGTAGCGTTTGATTTTATTGTAGTGGATTTTGGAGGCGGTAGATTTCTCGAATTACACAGCCCCCCCAAAAAAAAAGTATCGGATCTGGTATTCAGACCCATGTATTTCCATGTATTTTTTTACACTGAATCCGAATCTGCCTTCAGATTTGACCCAATGGGTCTTAGTTTTCGGAAAAATTCAAGAAACAGGTCAAAATTCACAAAAAACGTAATTTACGATAGACGAAAGCTATAAAAAATCAAATTATTCTACCAGCTCACTAGACGTATGATTTTTCACTCGTTTAATTTCAATTTCATTCAAAAACAGAAAATATATTAAAAACCATTTTCATGGCATAATTCGTGTTGCAGCGTTCTGGATTCATTTTTTTATCCACCCGCCCATTTATGAATTCATACATCTTTCTATCCAGTCGTTCATGCATGAATACGCATATTTATGCATCCACCTGTACCACCTATAAAACCCACCCATCCACCCATCTATCCATCTACTTTTTGTACTGAGAGATGAGATAACAGCCTAGAAGATTGAGAATGCAATAAAACCTGTAGAATACTCTACTTTCTAAACAAAAGAAAACGATATCTACAAATCATTCTTATTTTTATTGCTATAACGTGTTCTCTTTTCTTCAAAGGATCTATGCAAAGCCTTACGCTTCCGTTTGGTCCTTCTATTTTTCGTTTCTCTTTTTAACAACCAACAAAAATCGGCCATCATGTTTTCATCCCATCTTCGTTGATATCGCTGTTCTATAACCTTCATATCCTGATGAAATCGTTCGCCTTGTTCTTCGTCAAGATTCAAGATTTTCCGGAAACCAATCCAGATGTGAGTGAAAGAAGTGCAACTTGTAGTTCATCAAACATCCCAGATCTTGGAAGTCTTTTATCATTTTTGATACAATTTTTCGTATTTAGGACTCTTTTGTTTCCTAAAAAATTTGTCGCTACATCTTTGAAACTAGTCCAAGCACTCTTCTCAACGCTACTCATTGTAGTGATGAATGTTGCATCCTTGAACAATGTCCTCATCTGAGATCCATCGAATACACCGTCTTTCAATTTCGCCTCAGAAGTATTCGGGACATTTTTGCCCTATATAGGGCGAAAATTTTTTTAGTAAACAACAAGAGTCCTAAATACGAAGAAATTGTATCGAAAATGATAAAAGACTTCCAAGATTTGGGATACAAGTTGCACTTCCTTCATTCACATCTGGATTTTCAGGAAACCAATCCAGATTGGTTTCCTGAAAATCTTGGAGATTATAGCGAAGAACAAGGCGAACGATTTCATCTGGATATGAAGGTTATAGAACAGCGATATCAAGGAAGATGGGATGAAAACATGATGGCCGATTTTTGTTGGTTGTTAAAAAGAGAAAAGAAAAATAGAGGGACCAAACGAAAGCGTAACTCTTTGCATAGATCCTTTGAAGAAAAAAGAACACGTTATAGCAACAAAAATAAGAATGATTTATAGATATCGTTTTCTTTTGTTTATCTGTTATCTCATCTCTCAGTCTCTCAGTACAAACAGTAGATGGATAGATTGGTGGATGGGTGGGTTTTATAGGTGGTACAGGTGGATGATAGATGTATGAATTCATAAATGGGTGAGTGGATAAAAAGATGGATCCAGAATTCTGCAACACGAATTATGTCGTGAAAATGGCGTTTTTAATCTATTTTCTGTTTTTGGATTAAATTGGACCAGCTTGTCTGACTATGATGATAAATTGGAATTAAACGAGTGAAAAATCATGCGTCTGGTGAGCTGGTAGAATAATTTGATTTTTTATAACTTTCGTCGATCGTAAATTAGGTTTTTCGTGAATTTTGACCAGTTTTTTGAATTTTCCCGAAAACTCGGTCCCTTTGGGCCAAATCTGAAAGCAGATTCGGATTCAGCGGAAAAAAATACATGGAAATACATGGGTCTGAATACCAGATCCGATACTTTTTTTGTGGGGCTGTGTTATTATTGCTTAACACCCAGTTAGTCCCAGTCAGAAAAGGCGAAGAAAATATGCGATGTATAATAATTGGAGTGACCCAAGTTGAGTTTCCGTTGAGTGGGCTAATAATAATAATAATGAGTGGGCTACTAACAGCCCTCCTCTGCTACTTTACAAAGCAAAGACATATTACAGTCTGTTGTGGCTCGCTCCTAAAATCAAAATAACACCTGTGTCGGGTGATTTATCTCCAGACTTGGCAAAACATAGATTAGTTCTCCTTAGAGTTCGCTAGTGTAGGCTTTTTATTTTAAACTTCTGGTAACTCTTATCAGTATGCAAGTGTTTTTTCTCTCACCTATGCCAGGAAGGCTATCTTGAGAGTATCGGAAACCATACAGAGAGCTAGTCTAATCTCTCTCTGAGAGTTCCACACTGTTCTTGCTTACAATGATAAGATTCGAGAGCTTTCAGAGCTGTTTGGCTGTCCCTAAGAGTTTTTATCAATTTGCATGTATATTGCTGTTGTCCCAGTCTTCACAGTTGCATAAGGACTTTGTTATCGGATTGCAAATATAAAATATAAATCCGATTTCAACAACCTCTGGAGTTTTGGGGTCCAACGCCCCAGTTGGAGTATTATAGGTGTACCATTAACTATCTGTCCTCAAAACGTCGCTTATTTTCCGATCCCATAATGACTTTCTTGCTCCCTTAAGAGCGACCATTTAACTCATCGTGTTATTAATTGACTATTGCTAAGGAAATTTTTGGAAGAACGTTGAGTCTTCATATTTCCAACCTTATCTCCTGAAGCCCACACAGTTGCAATAAAGTATTTAGTGCAGATTTATAAAGGAGCATACTGATAAAAAGAAATATGTTCTCATTGAAATAGTGTTGAAGAAGAAAACTGAAAAAATGATATGTAAAACAGAGCATGTATTAACTTTAGAATTATTGAGAGGACATTCAGTTTGTCATAGATTTAAAATCGTGCAAATTTAATAGTTAGCATCACTGTGCTTTAACAAAAAGAAGGGTGGATATCTGTGTTATACGTATGTTAAATATTTCTGTTAAGTACAAAACTTTAGTTTTGGGAATTGTTATAATTAGAATTGTTTGCATAAACACTGATCGCAGGTACCAGAGATCAATTTCAAGTGGAAAACTATGACAAAGTAGACTGCATTGAACTACACGCAGGTTGGCAAAGTCGTCAAAAGAAGTATCAGGAAGTCAAGAACAGGTATCTTAATAAAAATTACATAATATAAAATAAAATTCAGTATTGTCAAAATAAGAGTACCTAGTATTTTTATATACTTTCTCATCAATTTGTCCACTCTTCTACAAATTTCATTTACTTCAGGTGAGTCTCTCAATATAACATAAAAGATAAAAGTCTAAAATTAAAATATAAAAAACGATCATTTGAATAAAAGTTATCTTAAGTTTATTCTCTTGCATATGACATTTCTTTACTCTTAAATTTGCAAATATCTCTTAGAAGCTTGTGTGTCGATACTGTCCCTTTTATTTAGAAGCTTGAGCTTTTTCTGGTAAACAAATTTTGAGGGCATGATATTTTAACCAGTTTTTATTTTATGAAAGCTAAATAATGTGCTATTTACCTAATTTAAGCAAGCGAATATGCGGTACAGGTAAACCAAATTCGTTTGTGTCCTGAGGGTAGGTGCGCAGTGGCAAAGTAGTGGGTGGGGAACGGATCCCATATGGGTGATCTGCTGCCTGCATTTTCATCTCATTCTATTTATTGCGTAGTTCAGGGCTTAAGCGAAATTTATTCGTCCAGTTGTATTTGCTTCTACGTCATTAATTTATTAGGTATGCACTTAATAAATTCATTGGTAAAGGATATCCTAACATAAAGTGGTAGTAGCGCTCATTAATTTTCGATATTTATATGGGATACCCCTATATTTTGTGTACATGGGACAACCATAGATCTTTGATGTCAAAATGACGTTATTTAACTAAACTTACTTCAACACGAAGTTGCTCCGTTCGGCATCAGAATTAGAAAACAATTTTAGTTTTTTTACAGAAATTTGCGAAGATATATATTTTTTATTGATGACAATAAAGACAAGGGACTTTCAAGACCTTTCCACTCTTAATTTGTTCTTATTTCTTATCACCAATACATATTCCACACAAATTTAATACAATTGTTATCAAACGTTTGATTTACTTGATAATAAATATAAAATAACGTTTTGTGGAATTCAGAATACTAATCTAATATTTTTTCACAAAAATTATGATAATTATTTTCTATAACATATTTTATTTAAAAAAAAATGATCGCAACCATTTCAGTTCGAATTTGATAAAGCGGCAATATGCAAAATTGTTATGGTATGGTCGTTTCCAATCATTTTACTGAAAATATGTATCTGAATTCTACGAATCTTTATTTCTTTTTTTATTATGAAATTAATATTTTGATGTCAATTAAATTTGTTTCAAAAATGCGTTGGTGATGATAAATTATTTAATTATGCGAAAACCATTAAAAATACAAAATTACAATTTAAAAAGGTCGTTATATCTGCGATCAAACGAGGGATGTCATTAAAGAACCCACGTGGAAAGTTATCCGCAAAAAATATGAACATATTTACTTTAGAAATGGGAATATTTTTCTCATTTCTGTAAAAGCAATTATTCCAGTTACAATAATAAAAAGTGACACTTATAAATAAGTATTAGATTAGACTCCACTCAAGTTGGACAAAGTCTTTTAGAAATATCTCAGAGAATCTAATTTATCTTTTCCTTTTTTGATGCTCTCTAGGAGCTTCATGAAACTACTTTGTCGACATATTTTGATACTGTCTATGATAGTTTCTTGTACATGGAGTACTAGGATGCTCTACATAAAATATACTTTTTGATTGTTAGATTATATTTAATATACAGGCTGTTACAAATTCGCTTCTTACTATAGGGAGGCAAAGTTGCGTATTCAGGGGACCAACATTATGCCTCTAAAAAATCAAGGCTAACATGATTAGTTTTTGAAATATTTGAAAAAAAAACGAAATTTTGGAAATCCGTTTTTGTTTAATTTCAACCATTTTTGAGGTGATATTGAAAAAAGAAGAACACTTTCTCATAACAACTTTTCGCCCTCTATCAAATGGCATAATCAACTTTTATATGTAATGTTTTGTCTCTTCAGGACCATCATCAACTTCATTTTTTTAAATACGACCCTGGAAATTTTATTACATTTTTTGCAAGCCTTCATGACCCCCAATACTGTACTGCCTCATCTCGAACCAGATTCAAACGTTTTGTCTCTAAACGTTCATCTTTGTATTCCTTCCAAATATCTCGAAATTTTTTTTTAGATTTCTATGTTTCTTGAATTATCGTACTCTCTATGCGTCGTTAGACCCTGTGAAATCCGCCTAGTTACTTAAACTAATACCATCACACGTTATAGTAAAAATTATTAGAGAACAAGGCTGAAATTAAATAAAAACGGATTTCCAAAATTTCGGTATTTTTTTTCAAATATTTCGAAAACTAATCATGTCACCCTTGATTTTTTCGGAGGCATAATGTTGGTCCTCTGATTACGCAACTTTGCCCCCATTTAAGCTACTTCGTATCCCTTACCGTTTCGGAGATCCCTGGAGTGAGAAGCGAATTTGTAACAACCTACTTATCAACGTATGAGTAAATCTTTTATGAAGTTAGTGCAATTAATTTCAAAACAAATTTATATAGACTTCAGTAATAAATAAATTGTCGGTAAATTCAAAAGTAAAATTTCAGCATGAATCTGCAAATTTATTCACTTAACGTTTGTAACTATCTAAAACAAATACAAATTGTCATCTTTATCTTCAATTCATTTACAACTTTTTTTATTAGTACCTACTTTGATATCTAATGTCGGAGTATCAGTAAAACTGTTAATAGTTAATAGGGATAACCATTTTCAATGCGTATTATCAGAATGATGGCCTTACATGGTTTCAAGGTAAAACACTGGAAATAAAAATAATTCTGAATTTACTGTACAACTTCCAACATACCGGGATGGCCAGACGTACGGAATAAAATTCATATCTTTTGAATGAGTTAATTTTTTTAAAACGCCGAAACACGTCAACTGATCTTGATATTTTTCCCATCTTTCGGTTTTATAATAATTAATTTTTCTTCAACACCCTAACCCCCAGCTACCCCTACTTTTTTTTCAAATGGTGTGTCCAGGCTTGAGGCGGCTCGTTGAAAAGCTTATAGAAAACCCAATCCAGCCATATCAAATAAACAAGTTTTATTTTTTCATTAGCAAGGTTTTTAGGGCTATTTAACAAGTGAAATAAAATTTAATTATCCTCCATGAATTTGTACAGAATAAAATTTGATAAAAGAATTTGATACTAACGCAAAAAATATATCTTTTTTATGTTGCACTTTATTGGTACCACTTACTTGCCAGGCTTTCTGGTTAATTTTTCGCTTTAGTTGTAAATTGGAGTTCGAAACGTTACTATTGTGTCAAAATCGAGTTATTTACTGAATCGCAATGGTATTGTCGGAAAGGCAACACATCGAAATCTTGACATTGCTTGGATGAGGAGATAAAATAAGAAGTCAGGCTGATGTGCGCGATTTATTTAATGCGAAATATCCCGAAAACTAAATCTCGTAAAAGACAGTTAGTAAAATATTTCACAAAAAGGAACACGGTACAGTACAGACATTTCCCAAAACTGGACAGGCACGTACTTTGAATGAAGAAAAGAAATTAGACATTGCATTAGAACTTGTTGAAAATCCTCATACTTCAACTGTTTTAGAGGCCCGTTGTCACGATGCTTCTTAAACTGCAATTCGAATGTTTTTGAAACAAGAGAAATACCACCCTTATAAGGTGTGTCTTGTCCAAGAGCCTTTGGAAGACGATTATGATAGGCGATTACAATTTTGTGAGGAAATGATGAGACGGTGTGACGATAATAATGGTTTTCAACGAGACGTACTTTTTTCGGATGAAGCTAGGATTTATTTAAATGGAGTGGTTAACAGGCACAACTATTGCTTTTGGTCCCAGGAAAATCCACACTGGACATGCGAATCTCATACGCAGCACCCACAGAAAGTTAATGTATGGGCAGGTATCATCAACAACAGAATCTTGGGCCCATTATTTTTTGAAGAAAATCTCACTGCCGCACGCTACCTGGATTTCCTAACATTTGACCTGATACCTGCTCTAGCTGTGATTTTGGTATTGATGTTCGAAGATACCTAGATAAAATGTTTCCAAATCGTTGGATTGGTAGACGGGGTACAGTTGAAAGGCCGCCAAGTTTCCCCGACTTAACGCTCCTGGATTATTTTCTTTGGGGATATTTGAAAGAAAGAGTCTACGAGGACAGACCGGATAATATTGAGAATTTAAAGAACAATATAAGGGCGGAGATGCATAATTTACCAGCTGAAGTCATTCGGAATGTTGTGGACAGCTTTTACTATCGTCTTGGTGAGTGCCAAATAGTGAATGGAGGACATTTTCAGCATTTGCGGCATTGAGTTTAGTTTTGTAAATTATCTAGTTGTTTCAATTTCTAAACGAAAAAAAAATTGCCATTGAAAAAATAAAACTTGTTTATTTGGTATGGCTGGATTCGGTTTTCTATAAGCTTTTCAACAAGTCCCCTCGTGCCTTATGTTCCCATTTGAAAAAAAGTAGAGGGTAGCTGGGGGTTAGGGGGTTGAAGAAAAATTAATTATTATATAACCGAAAGATGGGGAAAAAATCAAGATCAGTTGACGTGTTTCGGCGTTTTTAAACAAATTAACTTATTCAAAAAATATGAATTTTATTCCGTACTTCTGGCCATCCCGGTATTTCCAGCAACTTTCGATTAGGTAAAGAATATGTAAGATTTGCTTAAATAGGGAACGAATAAAATCCTGAAACGATTTTCAACAACTGAAATTCATACGTATGCTTGCAACAGCGCAAATTTTAGATATGTATGTACTTTCTTGTGGGTGTCCTGATTCCTGGAAATTTTGAAATGTTGACACCCCAAAGTTAAGCAGTCAAGGAGAATAAAGGTTCGGTGAAAATCAAATGGGTTACTCAGTGTTATTCTTTCTCTAGCTTTAAGAAGTCCGTAAAACAATTGGTGAAAACGAGCATAAGACTTTCCGTATAAAAAATAAAGTAAGGGGAAATAATATTTAAGACTAGCATATACGTAAGTACGTGTAAAATATATGTATGAACACAAGCTTGTACAAATTTCGAAACAGCTTATTACTGAGCCTACTAACTTTTTTAAAGCGATAATTTTCTGTTGTATATATTGCAGATGATTTAACGGAAGCATTCACTACTTACTATAAAAGTTTGTAGAGGTGTGGTCTATGCTATTATATTTTCCATTTGAAATTATTTTACAATAATATGTTGTACATATCAGAAGCTTTAAAAAAATATTGCACATAAGGCTTTCATAAATTAAATTTATTCGTATAATCTTTTTTTATTGTCTTCCCTATCCATAAATTTTGTTTGTTTTCTGTAACCAATTTGAAAAAAAATCAAGAAACAGATATGTACGAAATACAAAACATTGCTAAACATTAAAATTGATTTGTACATATTTTAATTTCTTCAACTTGATCAATTCCGTATTTTTTAGCATGTGATATGAACGTACATAAACGATGCGAAGAAAGTGTTCCTAACTTATGTGGTTGTGATCATACAGAACGCAGAGGAAGAATGCAATTAAAAATCAATTGTTCTGGAAGCAAACTTACTGTTCAAGGTTTGTAGTGTTTATATAATATATAATATACAGCCAAATCAGCCAAATAGAATAAATTTAATAATAACTTAATGGGGGCGTGTTCGAAAAAAACTTTTTACATAGGATGTGTCATGTAACAATGGTCAATACCAACTTTCTTATTTTAAATGTAACACCCTGTAAGTTATTCAATTTTTGGATTCTTCAGAAAATTTTAGACATTTCATGTACAATGTCCTATACCTGTCTTCAACTTTTACGGAAATATTAGGTGTTTATTACAAAAATTACCATTAAAGAAAGAAAATTATTTGATTACAGAAATTCGCTACAACACACTCAATACTTATTTCCCATTTAATTCTTGATATGAGAAAGTAAGCAAAAACCGTTTCAGCGTTTTTGTTTTACTGATTTGCTTGCTTTGCTTTAGCAACTTGTCGTCTGCCAGCATGAGAGTAATTGTAAGTGTTATAGTCGTTTGATTTTCGTTAACTGCATATCAGAAAAATGGTTCATTTAACAGAAATGCACAAAATAACAATTCCACAGATGATTGGTTATGGAGATAACACACGGACACAAATGGAAGTTGCTCGCTTATTTCATGAAATATTTCCAAATTTGCCGCCTATTTCCCAAGGGACAATGAGTAAACTAGAAAAGCAGTTTCGCGAGCTTGGACATGTAAGGCAGATAAAAAAAAGCAGCTACCGATGCAATAAGTGATGATACCAAATTGGATATTATGCTTGAGTTTGAGGAAAACCCACATACTTCTAGTCGAAAAGCAGCCCCAATGTTCGATGTTAGCCATTCATGGATTATTCGAATATTAAAAGAAAATAAAATGTATCCTTATAAAATGAAACCAACTCATGAGCTCATGGAAGACGATTTTGATAGGAGAATCCTCACTGGATTACAGAAGAACATACGCAATATCCTAAAAAGGTTAATGTTTGGGCAGGAATTGTTGAAGATGATATCATAGGTCCCTTTTTCATTGATGGCAGTTTGAATGGCGATAATTAGCACTGCTCCAAAATAGTGTCGTGCCAACTTTGACAAACTTGTATCTTGATCCAGCAAACCTACAAGTTCCAGCGAATATGATATGGTTTCAGCAAGATGGAGCACCGCCCCATTACCAAATCAATGACCGGCAGTACCGAATATTTCCAAATCGGTGGATAGGGAGGCGAGGATCGATGGAATGGCCAGCATAATCCCCTGATCTGACACCATTAGACTTCTTCTTATGGGAATATGCCAAAAGCATTGCATACAAAACTAAACCCCTCGACGATAAGATCGGTGACGCATGAGATGTTGAGTAACGTTAGAAGAAATTTCTATTTAAGATTAGGATGTTGTCAAGACGTTCGCGGCAAGCATTTTGAACATCTCCTTGTAATGACATTAATGTATTTTTTTGCTTTTTTATATTATCAATAAATAAACAGTATTACTTATTATTTTTTGAGTGTGTTGTAGCGAATTTCTGTAATCAAATAATTTTCTTTTTTTAATGTTAATTTTTGTAATAAATCTGAAAACCCCTAATATTTCCGAAACAGTTGAAGTTAGATATAGGACATTGTACATGAAATATGTCTAGAATTTTCTGAAGAATCCAAACATTGAATAATATATAGGGTGTTGCATTTAAAATAACAAAGTTACATGACAATCCCTGTATAAAACGTTTTTCTTGAAAAAAATGCGCAACTAAAAATACCAATCGACGTGTCCGACCGTTTTTTCGAACACGGCCCATTTATTTATTATTAAATTTATTCCATTTGGCTGATATACACTGTATAGTATACTAAATATCAGTGACAGTTTCATACATTTCCATATATTCGAAACAACAAAGATTTAAAAAAACTGCCAGTAGTTAATATATGGAAACGTTAGACTGATACTGAAAATAGTTTTAAAAAATAAAACAGTTTTTATCATAATATTTCAGTAATGCAAGGACGAAATTTAATACCAATGGATCCAAATGGATTGAGTGACCCCTATGTGAAACTTAAGCTTATTCCAGACTCTGACAACGTTAAGAAGAAAACAAAAACTGTTAAGGCTTGTTTGAATCCAGTTTGGAATGAGACAATCTCTTTGTAAGTATTGTATCAGTTGATATGTGTATATTGATTTGTTATGAATATTTTCGTAATGAACTTCATGAGAAAAATGTTTGTTTAGTAATGGATTAAATTTTAGTGAATTAAAACCAGAGGACAAGGATCGTCGTCTGTTGATTGAGGTTTGGGACTGGGATAGAACCTCCCGTAACGACTTCATGGGTTCTTTATCATTCGGTATCTCAGAGATATTGAAAGCTCCTGCAGATGGTTGGTTTAAGTTGCTTACACAGGAAGAAGGAGAATTTTATAATGTCCCAGTTCCAGAAGAAGGTGTTGACATGGCCACTTTAAAAAATCAGCAGAGGGTTTGTCTTAATGTATGTAAAATTAAAGAATGAGTAGATACTTATTGAATTTTTCGTAGAAGTCCTCTATAACTAAAAAGCCATCTCTACTGGTAGATAAAGATGTTCCACATAATATGGGCAAGAAGGACATTATTAGGGCCAGTGACTTCAACTTCCTCATGGTATTGGGAAAGGGCTCATTTGGAAAGGTCAGTGTCAAAATATAGCAAATTTATCTGTCCCTTAACTATCATAACAAATTTTAAATTCTAAATATGAACGATGTTATTATAAGAGCGCCCCTCTTTGGATAAAAGCTATCAATCTTCGAACATAGAAACTTGAGGATTCGTTGCACACTTTCTGCAGCATATTTAAGACTTTCATTCAGTGGATCCCAAACAAGCCAATAGTGCCCAAGTTTTGTATCTTATAAAACAATAATGAAAGGTTTTTAAAGCTTAATAGCTTCTAATGTAATCATTAGAAAATGTTCGACAGTCCCTAAAAGTGAAGTAAAGTACATTCAGAGTTGCTGTATCATCCTTAAAATATAATTTGAGAAGTTTAGCTTACAATCAAATACTACTCCCAAATCTTTTATGGTGTTACAAAAGATTTCAAGTCAAGCGGAACTCGAAATAATTCATTAGTCGATTCGTAAAATTTCTCTGAACATAAATCTTCAGTAGTTAACAACTACTGATGTCTACAACTTCGTCAGGAAGTATTTTCAGTTGCGTAATAATTTTCCACCTAATAGTATCTTTTATTTCTGGAACACATAGTTCCTATTCCATTGTTTGGGAGCTCATTCCTCTTCCATCTGGTGCACTTAGTCGTCAACTTAATGTACGATTTATTGGACTTTAGATTCGTAAAAACACTGTGATTAGTTTTATATTACTTGTTTTCTTTGTATATATTCTTTGTTTTATTTAGCATAATGTGTTTCACATCAATAAATCATAACAACAATGATATAGATATGAATATTTTATAATTTAACTTCAGGTTATGTTAGCTGAGAGGAAAGGCACCGATGAATTGTATGCTATTAAAATACTGAAAAAGGACATTATTATTCAAGACGATGACGTTGAGTGTACAATGGTTGAAAAACGAGTACTGGCACTTTCCAATAAGCCTCCATTCTTAGTTCAATTACATTCCTGTTTTCAGACAATGGTATGAAGTGGAAAATTTCATTGAGCTGTCGTTAATTGTTTGCTCTTTTCAGGATCGTTTATATTTTGTTATGGAGTACGTAAACGGAGGCGATCTAATGTTTCAAATTCAACAATGTGGGAAATTCAAAGAACCGGTAGCAGTGTAAGATAAAAGCAAACAAAAAAGCTTATGTAAATTAGTATTTCACATTATTTACAGGTTCTATTCAGCTGAAATAGCAATTGGTTTGTTTTATTTACATTCTAGAGGAATTGTGTATCGAGATTTGAAATTAGACAATGTTTTGCTGGATCAAGACGGTCATATCAAAATTGCAGATTTTGGCATGTGCAAGGAAGGTATAAATGGCGATAAGACCACAAAAACCTTTTGTGGAACTCCAGATTACATTGCACCCGAGGTAAATTTTGAAAAATAAGTTTGTTGAATTGATTGGAACATATTATTTTTTAGATCATCTTATACCAGCCTTACGGCAAGTCGGTAGACTGGTGGGCGTACGGCGTATTATTGTATGAAATGCTCGTTGGGCAACCACCCTTTGATGGAGAAGACGAAGAGGAACTGTTTGCCGCTATTACCGACCATAATGTTAGCTATCCAAAAGCGTTGTCAAAAGAGGCAAAAGACGTGTGTAAAGGGGTAACGCACTTATTTCCATGTGTCAGTATGGATGTACATAAATGTGTCTTATATGTTTTAGTTACTGACAAAGAACCCCAATAAAAGGTTAGGTTGTGGACCTAGAGGTGAGGAAGATGTGAGGGGTCATGCATTTTTCAGACGTATTGATTGGGATAAAATTGAGAACAGGGAGGTACAGCCACCTTTTAAACCAAAAATTGTAAGTGTACCTACTTTACTGTGATGATACAATAGGACTTTAATTTTATTTTTGATTTTGTACTATAAACAATATTCTTTATAAACATAATTGATTTAATATACCTTTCAGAAGAAAAATATTGGATAATTTAATTAGTAGTTATACATTTTCTCGGATACGTTGATTGTGCGTTTTGAAAAGCCCGTTTCCACTTCCGATCCTCCGCTTCTTCCGCATAATGACACAATCGGATTAATTTTAAATACAATTTCTAAGAATTTTCGGTTAGATTATTTTGCAACAATATCCTCTGAATTCAGCAACTGCAATTATAGTATTTTATTTGTTCTGTATGAAATATTTAATGAATTAACAGGTCAACTTCTTTTAACAGAAATATTTCCTTCAATATTTTTTTTAACTATTCTCTCGTCCGGTATTTTTGGTTTGAAATTATTTATTATTTGTGGATAATCTCGTTTTTTCTCTCTATTTATTTAGATATTTTGCTGTCAAATTTAATTTTAAAATTACATAAACTCTTGTAGCAAAATGGTCAAGGATTATTATTAGAATTATTGTTCCATAACTAAAAAATTTTCCTTTGAGAAAAAGCGAAAAATAAAAATATAGGTACATCGCGTCAAGTACATTAACTCAAAATAGGCTGATTTTCGAAATGTAAACTAACTTAAAGTGGCAAAATAAGCAGAGAATTAAATAAGAGGATTCTAACCTAGTTCTTCAAATGTTCATTGGTAGTTCTATTTCTGTATTTGCCTTTATTAAAACTATCAAGCAACAATATGTGGTTGAAAGTTGAATTATATTGATGTATATATTTCCATTCATTCACATGGTTTTCAATTTCATTCGCTCACTCTTTCCAATTCTATTGACTCATTTATAATGATGAGTCCCTTCAATTTTCTTCTAATTCACTATTATAGATTGTTGTGCATATTATCGATTTCCAGTTATCTCTTCAATTTCTTTCTCTTTTTCCCTCGTTCACTTCAATCTACTACACCCAATCGGTTTATATCTTACTGCAATTCTTCAAATAAAAATTCACGCCATGCTTGTGGTGTTGAAAGCTTTTGTGTTATATAATATTTCTTCTGTTATGTATTTTATCTTCGCTATATTTATCTTTGCTCCCTTTTTCTAGCCACTGTGATCATTTCATGCATCCTTTGAGTATTGTTTTGTTTTTTGCTGTTACTTTGAATCTCTTGTTTGGTTTCATTTTGCCAGAACCTGCGGGCCTCGGCACAATCTCGTAAGGCTGTAGCCCCCTAGTTCCCCCCTCTCCCTAAACTGGGGCCTGTGAATATTAGCACATAGGTGGAGATGTATGAAAAAGGGGTCTTTTAGAAATGCAAAATTGACGTATCTATCTAAACTTCACTGTTTCATAAATAACACAGGTCAACATTTGATATAAGAATAATCTCCGGACCTGACCAGGGTACTTATAGGTTTTTTGGATCGCTGATTCCGAATCCGAGGTTGGCTAAGCTCCATCACGTCAGGTTCAATGTCATTTGAAGGTCAAATTGCCAAAAATGGTTTAAAAAATCTGAAAAAATTCATACGTATGTTTTTGGGGTAGCCGATTTCAAAGTCGCTTTTATTTTTACCATTCAAAGACATCTAATGGTCGTATCAAGGTCATTTGGAGGTCAAATCGAGAAATATAGTCTAAAAAATCTGAGAAAATTTATACGTATGTTTTTGGAGTAGCTGAGCTAAAATCCGCTGTCAGTTTCACCCCTGAAGGACATCTGAAGGTCATTTGAAGGTCTAGTCGAGAAAATTGGTATAAACAATCTTAAAAAAATTATACATACGTTTTTGGGCTAGCTGAGTTCAAAGCCGCTGTTATTTTCACCATTTAAGTACACGAGTGAATGTTGCGACCAGTTAAGGCAGGAAAAAGAGTGTGTCCAGCCACTTAAGGCAAGACGACTGAATATCCCGGCCAGTTAAGGCAAGAACATGAGCGCGTCCAGACAATTAAGTCAAGACGACTGAATATCCCGGCCAGTTAAGGCAAGAACATAAGCGCGTCCAGACAATTAAGTCAAAACATTCACTCGTCTTGCCTTAACTGGCTGGACACTCTTGTTCATGCCTTAACTGGCTAGGACATTCACTCGTCTTGCCTTAATTGGCTGGACACGCTTATACTTCTACCTAACTGACCGGAAAATTGCCTTAACTGGCTAGCCTCCTTTATGTTTTCGCCTCATTCGGTCAGGAGTCGTATACATACGTATACATTTTTTCAGATTTTTAGACCGATTTTCTCGATTTGATCTACAAATAACCTCGACATGACCTTGATACGACCTTTAGATGTACTTAAATGGTGAAAATAACAGCGGCTTGAACTCAGCTAGCCCAAAAACATACGTATAAATTTTTTCAGATTTTTTATACCGATTTTCTCGATTAGGCCTTCAAATGACCTTGATATGACCTTCATACGACCTTCAGATGCCCTTCAGGGGTGAAACTGACGGCGGATTTTAACTCAGCTACTCCAAAAACATACGTATAAATTTTCTCTGATTTTTTAGACCATATTTCTCGATTTGACCTCCAAATGTCCTTGATACGACCTTTGAATGGTAAAAATAGCAGCAGTTTTGAACTAGGCTACCACAAAAACATACGTATGAATTTTTTCAGATTTTTTAGACCATTTTTGGCCATTTGACCTTCAAATTACCTTGAACCTGACGTGATGGAGCTTAGCCAGGTCCGGTGATTATTCTTAGATCAAATGTTGACCTGTGTAATTCATTGATTTTTTCCCAACATCTTAGAAAACTGTTTTATGTTTGATGGTCTATTTAATATTTGTTTTTGTTGCAGAAACATCGTAAAGACGTCAGTAATTTTGATAAGCAGTTCACTTCCGAAAAGACCGACTTGACTCCAACCGACAAACTTTTTATGATGAATTTGGATCAAACTGAATTTATGGGTTTTTCATTCTTGAATCCGGAATTTGTACAACACGTTTAAGGGGATGTGAATCCATGAAACACCATATAAATTAATATATGATTTGGTCACAACAAACAAGCGTATAATTTTATTATGAAAATTAATAATAATGTTTAAGGTAAACCAACATATCTCAAACAATTCTCTTTTAGCGAGTAAGTTTTAAAATAATTTTAAGCAAAAGGCTAATTACATGTCATAGTTTTAATGTTTCTCTAGTGCCATTGTTCTGCTATGCATTCCAACAATCTAATTGTGTTCTTTATCGGTATGGAAAAATGAGACATAGCTGTAGCAATAACATTCCTTAGACTTAGGTTAACTAGTTGTTTAAGTGACTGAATTGCATGTTAATTTTTCGGAGGTGATGCAAGCATTGTATTAATGATATTTGAATATTATGTCGCCTCTTTTTTCGACAACTACCACGCAATCTAATTGTAACGGATAGTTGTTCACTTAATATTTCTTACAGTTCTTCCAGTCATTAAAATGACGTGAATATGTGTAAACTTTATTATATGAATTTTAAAAGTCAAAACGTATTTCCCATGTGAGTGATAATGACCATCATTTTCGATGGCATCTGTATATTAATGTTGCTACTGTCTTAAATTTATCATAGCGTGTATAAACAATATTTTGATACTTAGGTGACATAGATTAGAACTAGAATGAAGTAATGATTTGAAAAGTGCCAATCCAATTGTATACCTTTTTCTGCTGCAAAAATTAGTGTATTCATTTTTTCTTTGGGAAAACTACCGATATTTATAAAAATAAGTATTGCTAAAATATTAGTTTTAGTTGCAACAGTACACTAATCTATAAATCAAAACAGGAAAACATCATCAAAATAGTTGTAGGTAGCAATGTTAGGTGATTTGCACTTGTTTTGTCTACTGAAAAGGACTATACTCAAAAGTTAATAATTGTAATTAATTTATTATTTATTATTTATATAAATTAGAGATATTAGTATGAGAAAAAAGGCTTTTTCAATACAAACACAGTCAATTTTAACAGGTTCTGTATGTAGTACATGAAATGGTAACCAAGAAAAGCAACGTATTACTTTCGATTTCTTTTGTCGCTCTCAAGTATTGTAAATTACTGTAAAGTAAGTTTCGTCAGCGACCGTATATGGCGCTACTGCTTACAATGTAAAGCGCATGTACCAGCAGGAAGTAGTGGTATGCGCATTTGCCCCTATTAAACACATAGGGACAGTTCCCCTCTATTATTAATAAATAATCTTGGCTTGGTTTCTTTGATCGCTTTGTCCATATGCGCCTAATACATGCGACTATAAACTGACAGATGAAGCAAGTTATTATTGGATAGTGCCCTTAAAAAAAAGTGTAGTAGCTTTTTAAACCATCTCCCGCCGAATGCGAGGTACGTGCTGTTTAAAATTTATTCACACTGAGAAATAAGGCATCTGTGTGAACTGAATTAACAGAAAGTGTCGATTCAATTAGTTTTTGAACACTTTTCAATCTTTGTTTAACCTTGTCATCGGCATTGCCCAGTCTAGACCATCGTCTTGCCATGATGTCGCTTATGACAAGTAACTTCATGCAATTTCTGGAAATCTAAGCGTTATCAATCGTGAAGAAATCTTGTAACAGCTACCTCTCCTAACGGCACTTTCATAAATATGGGTACACGGTCCAATCTGTATCTATTTGATCTGGTGGGGTGTAGAATTGATCCTTTTTTAGCTTACCTTCAACTTCAAATTGGATCCGAATTAGATGGATTACACAACCGACCCGTCAACCAACTAAACTGTATCGTATAGAACGGCCTGCTGATAGAACCCGAACTTAGCTTATTAGGTTATAATTTTTGACTTGTAATTTAAATGATATAGTTTGTGTGAAGGTTAATATTTGGTTATCGTTCCTAATGGGAACAGAATGAAAAGTATACCTTGTTTACGGCAGCATGTAAACAATACAACAACAAAGATGTTGGAAGCCAAGTTGTGGAGAGGTTGGTTTCTTAATAAAATGTAGAGCATTATGTAGCTATATTGCAAGTATCAAAAGTAAAGGAAAGTGTGACAAAAAATGTATGCTATAGTTATGTGAAAATTCGCCTCAAAATATCTGCCGAGGCCTCTTAAATATATGTATGGTTTTCTAGGAGAGAGAAAGATGACAATAATTAATGGTATGGTCATAACGGAGCACACAGAGACACTATTTTTTATTACTGATCGATTAGCATGTTAACTATGAGTTTTTCCACTTCTTCATCGTTTTTTTACTGTTTATTAGCTTTTCTTCATCTACCCAACTCGACGTCATGATCGTCTACTAAGACCTTTTGAAATCAAACAGGTTATCATTTAAGCAAGTGAAAATTTCCAGAGTTTGTTGGATTTTGATTGTGAACGACTTGAAGCAGATTTCTACATATTGAATTTTTCCATTCTCTTGGTCTACTATCTTCGATCAAAACTGACGTTGAAAATTCTTGTGCTCTAGCGACAGAGGTTATTCTGTGACGAAGCTTAGCACATTTTAGAAATTTGCTCATTTGATTTCAGCGATTAATGTCTGTTTTCGGTCAGCGGGATTTTCATGAAAGCCATATCATAAGCAGAGAGCGGACAATTAGTGTCTTTAACCTTGAACATAGATATGTCATTCATAAACATAGATACANTTATTAGCTTTTCTTCATCTACCCAACTCGACGTCATGATCGTCTACTAAGACCTTTTGAAATCAAACAGGTTATCATTTAAGCAAGTGAAAATTTCCAGAGTTTGTTGGATTTTGATTGTGAACGACTTGAAGCAGATTTCTACATATTGAATTTTTCCATTCTCTTGGTCTACTATCTTCGATCAAAACTGACGTTGAAAATGTGAAGAAATTCTTGTGCTCTAGCGACAGAGGTTATTCTGTGACGAAGTTTAGCACATTTTAGAAATTTGCTCATTTGATTTCAGCGATTAATGTCTGTTTTCGGTCAGCGGGATTTTCATGAAAGCCATATCATAAGTCGATCGTATCTTTAGCGCTTGGTGATATCTCTGGCCAATTATTAATATTTTCACGAGTACAACACCCGGTAGCCAATGGTGAATCTGCTTTCGTTAAGGCGTTTTATAGACAAGAAATAGCACTTCTAGTAATATAATGATAGAACAAGCAGATCCATCTATTAAGTGACGAGGTGTATCGCTAAACTAGAGCAACTTCTTTTAATTTTTCGCATTGGAATATTGTGGAGAACATGTAAACATCAGAAAATATACCTTCTATGTTTTGTTTAGCAAATTTGTAAATATAGGTACTCAATAATTGTGATTATTGCATGTTTTGTAAAAGAATTCTGCTGGGAGTGATTATGTTCAGGAAATGTAATCATTATATAAAAGTTGTGTATTGTAAAGTGAAATAATTGTCAGAACACTATGACAATCAAAACCTACTTTTCTATGGCTTTTTGGAGTTAATCCTTGGTTCGTAGAAAAAACATGATTAGCAAATTATGTTTTGAATAAGGCATGTACAATCAAGTATTTCAAATAAGCATTTGAAATACAACTTTGAGATTTAGCAACATTAATAACATAGAATGTTCCTCCATTACTCGTGTACATTTCACTTAATAATATTTAATAAAAGTAGTATTAGGAGTATGTTGCATTTGATATATCTGTAAGGATACAAGTAATATATGTTACACTCTAATAGAATTTTCTATCGCAAAATGTTCTTTACGTAAGATTCTATCTATTACTTAGGATATTTCATATTTATTATTTAAATAATTGCAGTGTAAATGTATCATATAATTTATCTATTTTTTCCTGTGATTATTAAAATGTTTCAATCGAATATGAATGACACAGTTAATGCTCTTTGTTACTTTTAATATAAATCAGTTGTTAACGAAATGTATTTCACACATCGCTGCACATTTCATCATTGATGAAATTTCGCAAGGATTTTAGAAGCAATCATCACTTTTGCTACCTCTATGTGTTTATCAATTTTATTTTAGCTTTAAAACAGTTTTTTTTTGTACAAATTGCAGCTCAAACTGTTGAGCCATAGAATAGGCAACACTATTTTATTTTCTTTATCTATGCCTAATTTTTTTTGTGTAGTCTTGTCCCAACAAACATTTGTTCGTTGTTCTTACTTGTAGGTTTTATGTAATTTTCTTGACCTTTTCTCTCTCTAATCTAATTAAACATGTATAATATAATTTGAATTTTATTACTATATTTTTATATACTAAAATATTTTACGATAAATTCATTTCATGTCCTATGTTTTGTAATAATAATTTGTTGTCTTTTTTTGTCAAGTTCATCAGAATATTATTTGAAAACAGTTAACATTATTGTTTCTTTGGGTTAAAAACACGCTACACAATAAATATCTGTCTTAGTAAATGATGAAGTGTGCTCTTTTTTTAAGTGCATGCAACTCTAGTCATTTATTATACATATAATAATTATCTAGTCTCAAAAAGTATGTGGTCTAAGTGATCTTTTTGATATAACCTGTTTTATTGTTAGCATCTGATATGTATTATTCTTATTGTAATCATATATTGACTACATGTATTATAAATTACAATATACATCAACATAGTTTTTTTATTCCCTGTCTTGAGTTCGGCAACAGGACTGGATTCAGATTACCTGTGTACTAGAGAATATGTGGTAAAATAACTATTAATAATAATTAATAGCAATTATAAATTAAAAAAAGTTAAAAAAATAAATAAATAAAAAAGTTAAGAAAATACATAAACATGAAAAACTGTCAAAGTCTACAGTTGAGAAAAGGCTATGCTCAGAAGTTATTATTATGTGTTTTACTTAATGCGTGGTTAAGTAAAATGATCACTTGAGAAGTTGTTGAGGAATGATTTATAAAGGGTGTTACATAAAATTAAGACAAAATACAGGGTCTTAAGAGTTGTTGTAAGATATTCATTGGAAGTTTTGGATAAACATTTTTCCAGTGCTAACACACTTCTCTTAATTTTGGTCACAATGTCGTTGCGCCAGTGGAAGAATGTAATACCCATTAAGTTCCCAACTTTTCCCTGTGCTTCACAGATATTGATTTTTAGATGAAAAGTTTCTTCATTCTTCTAACTTTTGCATAATTTTAACTTAGAGTTACGTTTACGAGATATGGTAATTTATTTATCTATTTCTTTTTTGTTAATACTAAGTAAGATTAAGTAAATTAAAATAACACAAGTAAAACCTTAGCAAAATTATAATCAATAAGTCCAAGTACATTTTTTTAAGACCATCAAGGTCTAGGTGGTCCAAAGCTAAAAGAAATGTATCGCATATCTAAAGCTAGCTAAGGCGTAAACAAATTTTGCAAGAGAACAAATAAAAAAAAGGAAATAAAGTATATTTCTAAATTATTATAAGCGTGCGCCGAAAAACTTGGGGGTGGGGAGCTAAATCGGTACAACGACTGTCTTTTCTTCATTTGTGCAAGGACGTTTTTTTACCAAAACAATTTCTTAAACTGTAATTTTGATACCCCGTTACTTGAAAACAAAGAGCTTATATGAAGAATGGCATAACAAAAGTCATATTATTTTTGTTCAAAGAATCCGAAGTTAACAGCTTGATCTACTCGTTTTTAATACTCGGTATTTAAATAAAACTTCCCATGGTCATCTAATTATAATTTAAATGCCAATTCAATTCTGTGCACCCGAAAATTGCTGTACAAAAGGTGTCCCAGAATTCACCCCAAGAAGTAATTTTGGTATAAAACACAGTGACACGTTGTTGATGCAATTGTTTATTCTTAGCAATCACTTGTGGATTTGTTGAACCCCAAATCACCATCAAGATGAAAATGAGCCTCATCGCCGACGACGATTTTTTGAAGTTTGTAAGAATCTTTTATGGAATAAACTATAGATAGCTTCTCGAAATGTCCAGTCTTGAATGGATCAAAGAGTGAAAGATACGAAAAAAAGGTATTCTTGATAAAAGCTTTTGCTTCTTTAGAAAATACGAATCGCCATGACGATCTTCAATTTTGTTGTACAGGGTGGGTCAAAAACACAAAAATGTTATTTTGCGTACGAGTAAACATACCTTATTTTGCAAGATTCGAAAAAAAGGCATTCTTGATCAAAGTTTTTGCTTGAAAAAGGAATAAGTCACGTTATCAAAAATTTTATTTTTTGTACAGGGAACAAAGTACGAAACTAAAATATGTCTTATTCAAGTACAATTTTTAAATAATACAAACATAATTACAACAACAATTAAGCTAAAAACAGTAAATATGATGGGGATATCAAATTTCAAAAACACCAGCCTCATATCGAACACATTTTTCTAATTGCTTCCTTTGATATCTGAAGGAATTTCTGATTTCTTCCTGGAATGTTCTGCCATTTAGCATTTCAATATTATTTGGTATTGGAGTGGCATAAACAATTTGTTTTAAAGGGCTCCATAGAAACATATCGGCTATGGTTAAGTCAGGGCTCTCTCCTTCTGAAAACAGTTTTCAGAGTAACTTCTGAAGAAGAGAGCGATATGTCTCTCGAAACGTCAAGAGTTGCATATCGACGACGTGACAACCAGCCCGGAAATCATTCAACCAAAAATCTTTTTTTGGTTGATTAAAGTGTTATTTGAAGGGACATCACAGGAGTTTCTTCTTTTTCTTTTTGAGGTTTAAAACCGAACAAGTTCTTTGAAACTTTTTTATTACCTTGCAGATCGTCATGCAACTTATTGGGATTCTTACAAATTGTTCGCTAAATTGTTTTATGACGTAGCGATCCCCATAACATTTTTCATAAGAGCCTTTTGCTCATTAGATAGTATTTTGATGAGAACTTTACAATCTTTACATTAAATAATTACTTCATTAAATGACAAGTATGTCCTCAAGTGTCATTTTTATTTTAAGAATTACTAGATAGGTACTTTGATTAGAGGTGTGTTAGAAAATACTTAATTAAATTTTTGTTTCCGTGACTCTTATTAATTTTTCAAGCAAAAAATTTCCTTTTTTCGCATCTTGGAAAATAAGGTATGTTTACTCTTACGCGAAATAACATTTCTTTGTTTTTGGTCCCCCCTGTACAACCGTATTTTCTAAAGAAAAAAAAAATGTTATGAAGAATGCCTTTTTTCGTATCTTCCACTTTTTGGTCCATTTGTCCTCTTTTAAACTCAATGCGCGGACATACTGTGTATATAATTTTTATGTCTGTTTTTATTTTCTCTCTATTCCTCACCCACAGGATAAGAAAATGTTAAAGCAAGTTTTTATATTTCAAATTTATTTTGTGTAGGTTGGCGCCCATCAACAATTTTCTTATTCCCTTTAATATAACATCCATTTTAAAATATATAAGGCTTTAGTCCACAGGAGCTGTTTCCCACAATATCATTAGTTAAAACTTTATTTTATCTGGTAGTGACTTCGTAGTAACTGCGGATTATGGCGGAAATACACATACCAGTAAAATAGGTAAGTAACTTGCATGCTAAGAAATGGCATATGCCGGCGGATGGCACACTGCTGATACATTTGCAAGTAAAATGGAATGCCTATATGGCTTATTGGCATCTCAGTAGGTAGCAAGTACATATGCCAGTTTTTCAGTGATCAGAGAGTTTTCTAGTCAGAAAATAATAGGTTAACTATGGAAAATGTGCGAAATGAATTAAACAATATTATCCCATTACTTGTACCTCAATTGGTAGTTAAAAATATTAAGCAACAGAAGATCAGAAGAAAGAAACGAGATATTTGGGTAAAAGACTGGATTAGCAGAAGGGAAGAATATGGAGCAAGCAGTTGTTTGCTTACAGAAATGCGGCTAGAAGATATAAATGGCTACAGAAATCATTTGATAATGCTTCCTGAAAAATTTGATGAACTGTTATTGGAAATTAGAAACAACATTCAGAAAAAAGATACCCATACAGTCATCCAAAGTAGAAAACAAAATCGCTTGTAGTGGTGATAGCTACTGGAGTGCCAGCAACTAGTAGACACGTTCCGACATGCTGCTTGAACTCCGCCGAAACCCCCCGCCTCACATTGCATGCCAAAAAATCAAATGATGTGCAATTTACTTGCGCGCCTTCTACAGGCATGCCTTTTAATAAATGCACATACCAGGAGTTATCTCCTGCAAGCAAGAGGCATGTGTATTTCCGCCTTTAGTAGGTCGCTCTCTGCCAGTAGGCACAAAGCAAAGGAACCCGTTTTTTGCGACTTAGGTGGAAATTTATTATTTTAAGACAAATTAAACTTTTAGCTTTAAGCTGATTGACCCAACACAGTAGCCGCGACATTTAAAAAAATAACACACATTGAGGGTTATATCTCACCCACACTTCACATTCCCAACTGCTTATTATTCAGCAATGTTCTTTGAACTTTGAATATATAGTTTGTTCATGGATATGTTCGGTACAAGGTCTTGTAAAACAAATTAGAAAGGCTCGTTTAGAAAGAAAATTTATTTTATAAAAATTCGANTACAGATTAATACGCACTACAAATTAAAGTAAAAAAAATTGTTTATCTTCCTTGTCAAATCTTTATCTTATACTTGTTGGTATTTAAAAATAACTTAGTAGGTCGCTCTTTGCCAGTAGGCACAAAGCAAAGGAACCCGTTTTTTGTGAATTATGTGGAAATTTATTATTTTAAGACAAATTAAACTTTTAGCTTTAAGCTGATTGACCCAACATAGTAGCTGCGACATTTAAAAAAATAACACACATTGAGGGTTATATCTCACCCACACTTCACATTCCCAACTGCTTATTATTCAGCAATGTTCTTTGAACTTTGAATATATAGTTTGTTCATGGATATGTTCGGTACAAGGTCTTGTAAAACAAATTAGAAAGGCTCGTTTAGAAAGAAAATTTATTTTATAAAAATTCGACAATAATTTTTATTTCCATAAATAATTTAAAACAACAACAATACATCCGCGCTCTTATTAAGGACCCGTTCCAGCGACAATTTCCATGCGCTCTCCATAAAACGAACTGGGAGTATTTCTTATTCTTACACAATGACATAAAAATATAATTTATAAAATAACAACTGGTAAGATGAAACGTGGCAATTTAATTTTGCAACTGGATTAAGTAGTATACCACTAAACTACGGCTAATAAGATAAATCACAATAATACAATCCAGTTTCTGCTCTTAAGCACGAGTGGTCACAACCTCTGGATCATCTCCTGCATCTTTCTTCTTTTCTTCCTCTACTTGCGCCTCCGGTTGGTCCCACGACTGGCGCGCGCCCGATCCGAAGATGACGTAGAATGTACAGCAACCGGCGTAGACGCATGCAGCAGTTATGAAGACGGTCCTCCACTTAGCTATGCTTGGCTGTGGAAAAAATACACATAAGAATTTTGTTACAATTTACACCATCAAATTTAAAAATGAAAATCAACTAAAATACTTCACCTGAAAATGATAAAATAATGGTTTCGCTTTAGATAATTTGTTCAAAAAATACATCAAGACATATTTCATTAATAAGAAAAAAGGATCATGTAGGCATTTAAAAAAAAACAGAAATTCTCTTTGTGATATATGACGATAGAGAACTTGTGGGAATATCGACTGCTATCAATATAATTCAAATCTAATCAAAATATGCAAAATTGTTCTCTTACACCAGGGAAATTAGCGAAAATAAAAGGGAAACTCGAAAAAAGTCCTATCCGCGAGATTATTGTAAAATTGTCTAAAGGAACATAATACAAGACATCTCTCATCTCGTGAGTCAAAAACTTTTATTAGCTAACTTTTCTATTTAAACAAATAAGTGAGGAAAACTGTTTTTCACTTTGCGGGGAAAACCGTCAATTTTAGCGAAATGTTACGCACAGACAGCTTATAGGGAGTAAAATTATCTACAAAATGAGATTGGTTAAATTAAAATCGGTTAATAAACAAAAAAGTTATTGCAAAAAAACAAGAAAAGTGCCCATTTTTTCATTTGTTTATAACTATCGCATTTATTGTTAAAATTTTATAAAACCTATGACAAGTTGAGGGTTTTGTCATACTTCAAAAGTGTGCCAAAAGTGGGCGCTGTAGGTGCGATAGTTTTCGCACAATTCTATTTGTTTATAGCGGAGGCTCCAAAAGTTATGAACTTTATGCCTCTGTACAGGCCTTAATTTTCAATCAAACATGATTCTGAAAGCGTCATTGTAGTCTTAAAGACGCAATTAAGCGACCTATTAAAAAATATCGCCGCTTTTTTGACATTAACATTCTCAAATTGTGCATTAAAAAACCGTGCGTTTTTCGCTTATAAACAATTTGAATAACATTGTTGCTATTTATGCTATCTCACCGAAAATAGGTGCAATGGATAGCTGGAAAAAAAATACAGTTTTAAAATAAAAAAAGTGCCCTCTACGACCAACAGGAGCCAAGATAAGAATCTTTTTTTAAAAAATCGTAGCGCAATTGTTTATAAATATTAAGACTTGAATTTTTCGCAAAATAAAGTTTACGACGTAAACTACGATTTCCCGTGAATTGCATTGAAAAATGTGGAAAATTAACGACTCACGAGCCCTTTAAAGAGAAGGTACTCGCTAAGTAAACTGTCCGGCGGCCGGCGGCGTGGTGGTGGGGGAAGCTCGTCCAAGCGAGTCGCGCGCGCGAGAAAAGTGAAATCCAAAGTTCAAATTGATGCGCGCTGTAAAATTTTGCAATATCTCGCCTTCTATTCATTGTAGAAACTTCTTTTTTTTTTTTTAAACTGGGGTAGCTCGACGAAAAAATAACAATGGGCATATTTACGAATTCGTAGAATAGCCCTGAACCCCAGAAAAAATGCATCTTTTATAATTATTTTTTTTTAATTTACAAAAATGTCAAAAATTTTTGTTAAACGAAATATTAATTAAAATTTCAATTTCGGAATTATTTTACTATTATTAAATAAATAAATGAAGCTATCGTTCATTTAAAAAGTTATTTTTTTTACATATTAAGGCAAAGTAAACTTGTTTTTTCAACATTTTGTTAGCTATTTAATTACGATTTAAATGTAAAATTAAAGTAAAAATTCACAAATTATTTTCAAATTATTATTTATTGTTAAAAAATTTTAAAAAGAATAAAAAGCAGAATAATTCGAAAGTAAAACGAAATTATACTATTTGTAAAAAACTTTCTACGTGGAATTTAAAAACGGTACGTTACCAAGCATTTGTAAGTTTTTCAAAGATTTACAATGACAAATACTTAATCTAGAGTCTCTCCTAACCTTTAAGTAGTCGATATTCCTCCACTTTCTCTAATGGTTCAAAATAATGCTTGAAACAAAGTTTACATAAAGCGAATATTAAAAGTTAAGAAATGCAGTGATGAATCATTTAAAGACAAACATTTTCAATCAAGGAAGATTTTTTGAAACTAAATTTGATTTGAAAAGAGAAATCTGAAATTATTTATACTACAATGGAAAATGTGCACTTCGCTGATTATATTAAAGTATCTACACGTGTGCGATTGAAGATTTCAAGATATTTGTAGACGGGTTGGTATTTTGAGTACCAGTAAAAACTTGATTAATTAATCAGATGGAAGATTATATGATGCTTGTAAATAATTTCACAAGTAGACCTACTGTGACGTGCCTTTGCAATGTCTATAATAAAACATTATAACCACACTTTCGTTCAAAATTAAAACAGACTGCGATATATTGTCGGTCTATAACTGGCAGTGATAAGGTTTATAGGCTCACGTCATAACAATCCTTAGAAACCATGGTATTTTGAACAAGGGCCAGTATTTGTTGATGTAAAATTCTTTCCTACTACATATTAATTAAAGTCTTAATATTTTCAATGCACTCTGCATTCTTTAGTGTTATTTTGTGCTGAAGGTGCAGATTATTACAGATTAATACGCACTACAAATTAAAGTAAAAAAAATTGTTTATCTTCCTTGTCAAATCTTTATCTTATACTTGTTGGTATTTAAAAATAACTTAGTGTTTGTCGAGTATTCATTCAAGGCCCTGAAATCATCATATAGCAAAAACAATCTAATATATTTATTTCTATACAGGATGATTCACAACTTATCAAAAAAACTTTGGGAGTAGACGCGGCACGAGAAATGGAGTCAATATCGTCAAAAATTTTTTGTAAAATGCTTATACCCACTAAACACGAAACGTAAATGAAACGTTGCAAATGAGATGTTTTACTGAACATTTGAAACATTAACTAGAAACGTTTCTGTTTCATTACAGAAATGTAGCACTTGAACACTTATTTAGTGAAACATAGCCGAAACGTTACAATTGAAGAGAGTTTGAAACATTACTCGAAACATTCCCTTTCGATCTCGGAAACATAACAGACGAACAACCCTTTGCTATTTTTGCTTATCTTATGGAACATTCGGCATTAGTTAAATTTTGCTCTCAATCCCCAATCCTTCTCAAGCGTTAGTTCATTTGCCTTTGTTATATAAAGACATAATTAGAAAAAAAAATGTGGTAGCATATTTATAACACAAGTCTAGAAAAAATGTATGTTCGTGACTTGCGTAGACTGCGCGTAACAGCCCGAGTTTATTTGTTTCCCGTGTGTCGTTTCAATTCGTATTATGTTAGGTTAGGTTTGCGGTTTGTCAGTTTGCTTGGTTTCGTTGTTATTCATCTTTACTTTGACGCTATTTTATGTGATAATTTGTAGTGTGTGCAGTTGTGGTTATTGTAAGGTGCATATAAAATAATGAATATTGATGCAAAATGTTTAAAACGATATGTGTAGAGATTTCCAATTTTGCGTCACATCTACCTAAATATAGTTATACCCACTACCTATTACAGACAAGAGGACAAGGGACAAGAACTAAGAAAATGGAACAACAACTATACGTTTCGATATAATTTGAAGAGCAACTACTTAGTCAGTGAGAACTATTTGAAATATGGATGAATCAAGTGAAATAGACGTCATTTATTTTATATTTTGTACAAATGTTTATATTTGTTTATGTGTATAGGCATGCTTAAATAAAAGAGTTTAGGTATACCTACAGATATTTACTTTGTCAAGATATCATTTTGTATCCTTATTTCTGCTGTATAATTTATTATTATTAAAAGGATATATGTAATATTGACCATGCGTAGAAGAAATTATAACTTTATATTATTTTTCAGTAATGTTATTTGTTTTTCATGTACCTACCATTTTAAGATTCATAATCATAACTAACTTTTTCTAATTATCAGTTCGTCATTGTTACCATATTCATGAAGGTCTCAACATTAGAAAATTTCCATTTCAGAAGCGTATTTGAACTATATAAAATGTGTAGCTTTTTTTTAATGCTTCTGATATTGTTTTGTGATATTTTTATTTGTACGATGAATGGCAAAATTCATAATCCATATTAGAAACTTTTTTCAGTGGCTTCTCAAAAAGAAAGAAATTCTTAGTAAAAGTTGCCGCATCCCCAAACTAGAAGAGCATATTTATTTTTTTTAATATACAATGTAACTTTTTTTAGTTCGAATTAAGTCATTCACAATACAAATAAAAATATCACAAAGGAGTATTAGAGATATTTAAAAAAATACTCACACTATTTATACTATTTCAAAAACGCTTTTGAAATGAAAATGATCTAAAGTTGAGAGCATTATGAGAACAATATGGTAATAAAATTATTATGTTACTCAAACATTTCTGAAAATATACTGAAACGTAAAACAAAAATATCGAGGGCATAAATGGAACATAAAAAGAATGTTACTGAAACCAATTTTTTGAAACGTTTCATTGGAAACGTATTTTGGGGAGGACATCTTGGGCTTCTAGAACGTTACCAGAACGTTGCATGGATTTTTTATGAAACGTTTCAAGAAAAATGGAAACGTTTCTGAAACATGTCAGAAACTGAAAAATGTTTAGTGGGTAGGTTCCGAGAAAAAAATTATTGAAGTTGTATTACTTTCAACCATTACATAGCTGGACAACAGTAGTCTTTAGCATCATTGCCACGTGGCTTAAGCGACTCCGAATACTGAAATCCGTTTTTACAATCGTCGTTGCAAGTGTTTACAAAAGTTTTTTAGTAGTTAGTGTCAAAAATGGCTTGCGTGTATAGCAATTCGGAGTTGATGGATATCATTTTAATTTACGGTGAAGCAAGACAACATTTGTGATAGTTTGTAGAAACTGAGTACGACGGACCCAAATGTGTTTATACGTCGGTGGACAAAATTTTGAACAGATGTTGTAACATCATGTATGTCAAATTATTTTATTATTTTTGATTTTTTCTTTACAAAATTGTATTTGTAATAGTCCCCTGTACATCCAAATTTTTTTTTTCTAAGTTCTGAATCACCCTAAATCCTCATGTCGTCTGCTAAGAAGATACAAGACAAAAAGTTACACCCATCACAAATTAACAGTAAAAATAAGAATGGTTCTACATTTGAACTTGTGGAACACCAGAACTACTCTACTCTAGTAACTTAGGTTTTGCTTAAATTGACTACATGTGAGCAGAAATGGTTTAACTCAAAGACCAAATTTCGTAACTAAAACATTATTCGACCATTTTGGAGAAGTTTAAATGCAAGTTTAAGTGCAACAAGAGTTCTGTTTAAACCACATGTCTTCAAAGGCAGCGTAAAATAAAAATTTCAGTCTACGAACAACTTGCATTTATCTATGGAAGAAAACTTTCCAAAAACATGGAATTTTTCCGGCGATAACATCCAGAGTAGTATAAATTGTAGATTAGCTTATCTCATCACCACACACTTATTGAAAAATATTTTTCACTACAAATGATATCAAAATTATGCGACATATTTCGAGTATGTCCGACGAAATGAAATACTCACCGTGCCAACCACGACATTCCCAGCATAAATCGGGGCAAGCAGCCCAGCAAGGTTAGCCAAGCAGTTGGTGAACGCCATCAGGATGCCGGCAAACTGTGGAGAAATGTCCAGATGGTTGACTTTGAAACCGGAATAGATACCGCCATTAAGTCCAACTCCAACAGTGAGGAGGGCCACGGTTAACCATTTATCACAACCCGTAAACGATACAGCTAGCAAAGCAATAGCAGGACCATACTGACCTAGAAATTTCAAGGAGGTTTCAAATCTGCGCACTTTCATTGCGGTGAAGTCTTACCAATTCCATTGATAAGTTTTCGTACAATAGTATGAGTGAAGTATGGCTTGGTTAACATCCAGTCGGCTACGTGACTAATGAAGATGGAGAATATCCACATAGCTAAGTACGGTAAAGCAGACAGGATTCCATTCTACAAGAAAAATAATAAAATTGGTGAAATAAGTTGAACTATGAAATAAATATTCGTGGTTATCATATTCATCAAAATAACAGTAAGGGGTGATGTTATTCAAGATATTAATTAATTTTCTTATACTGTTTGATCAGAACATATATAAATAAGATAAAAAAAGTGTCCGACGGTTGATTTACAGTCCGTGATAAAAAAAAATTCCGACGGCAATTATGCGCTCTCTAAACGAATCGACCAATATTTATCTCGGAAGTTCAGTGTTTTTAATTGCATTTTTGCGTTGACTCATTACTCTATATTAAACAAATTCATGGGGTTGTAGGTTCTCTAGTAGAGATTTTGTTATAAGTGCAGGCGCCCAAAGAAAATTTACTGTGCCTACGAGTTCTAAAATTCACACAAGAAGTAATTTTGATAGAAATCACAGCCCTTCTGAATTAAAAATTGCAGTTATGAGGTTTTAAATTGTATAAAAAGTCGGCCGCTCTTTTGTTGCTGAGAGGTAAACTTGCATCTTTTATTTTCTTTATCTTTCTTAATGTAGATGTGTTTTATTTTCTTATTGGTCTAATCAGCATGACTGGCAAGTCCGTGACCTCTCAGAAAGTGAATTAAGCGTTTCGATTACTTTGGATTCTATAACTTCTATGTTAAGTTTTTTACTTTCGGAGCAACTATAACGTCTACACAGGGCACTAGTGAGACAAACAAGTATACTGTTCTAAATTTCTGTTGTAGAGTTACAACCAAACTCGCTCGAAGCGTTCTCACTTTTCATGAGGCTGTAGTCTTATTAGACCCTTGACATTTCTTTCGCTCTCTTCACAGGAACAGTGTTTTTCCGAAGGAAGCGATAGGTTCCTTGAAACGTCAAAAAGTCTAAACTGATGACGCAACAGCCAGCCCGGAAATTGTTTAACCATAATGATCTAATTGAGAGTTGATTAAGAAGAAAAAAATGAGGCACCAATCGATGTCGATGACCCACTAATCCATCTTGATTGATTTATAATGAATAAATAAGTAAAGTGATAGGTAACTAAATCTGTGTTGGTGAAAAATAACTTGGAATTAAAAAAATTGCTGGAGATATTACCAATTCGCATATTGGCAAAATTTATTTTCTATTTGATACCTCTCGCTGCTTTGCCGATGGACGCAAAAATTAAAAATATAGTAATTTTACCCCAGTTTTGAAATTCCGGCGTTCTTAATATTTATGTTCGTATTTTCCAAATATCCTACATAGGCTGTTGATTATAGGATGTTAAAAGGAACTATAACCTTCAAGATATTTTATTACATGAATCGTTCAAATGGTCAATTTAGATGAAAAAACTGGAGATAGGGGTGAAAATGCACCCCTTCTATTTTTTTAATTATAGCTCGAAAACGAAGCAAAATTTCGCTATAGTTCATATGAAGAAATATTTAGAGAATTGAATTTTCCATCGAAATCCCTTATTTAAAAAAAATTGAAAGGAAAATTTTATGCAAAAAATCGCTAATAAGTTATTTAAAAAAAGTAAAAAATTAGTTTTTTTTTACTTTTTTGCCTCTAGTTTTTTTTTTCTTTTGAGTAAAGATAGGTATAGGCATTGCTTTATAGAAAAAAAGTAGTTACAATTTCCTTCAAAATAAGAGGTTGTAAAATATTTTTAGATGAAAATTGACCGATATAAGGCTGCTTAAACTTTCAATTAGCCAATTTTTTTAATTTCGTCGCGTTTACCCTTATAGTTTTAATTCTCATTTTTTGCAAAAAGGAAGGAAATAAGACGTTCAAGGATTTTCATCACGTGACTTGTTCGAGGGGATATTTAAAATGAAAAAACCGCGGGGTTAAATTAGAGGGTTGAAATTGAAGATTGAAGGGTGAAAATGCCCTTTTGCAGTTTCTTAAATATAGCACGAAAACGAAGCAAAATTTCGTTATAGTTCATAGGAAAAATTTTGTAGAAAATTGAATTTTCCATCGAAATGGCTTATTTAAAAAATTTAAAAGAAACATTTTATGCAAAAATCGTTAATAAACAATTTTAAAAAAGCAAAAAATAAGAAGTTGTGAAAATCTTTATTATTAACAAATGAAACTTTTGAAATAATTTTTTATTAAGTAAAGATCCAATTTGTTGTAAAAATAATAAGATTTATAACCATTATTATGTTAAAAACGACGAAAATCTAAAAAATATTTAAGTTTGACCGGTTATAACTCGGTCAATAATAAGTCCAAAAATTCAAAATCATTTTGAAGGGAATCTCATCTAGTTTTTTTGTACAAAAATTTTCTTTGCCTACTTCTACTAAAAAAGAAATTAGAGTCAAAAAAGTAAAAAATAAATAAAAAATATTATTTTTTGCTTTTTTAAAATTGTTTATTAACGATTTTTTGCATAAAATTTTTCTTTTAAATTTTTTAAGTAAGCCACTTCGATGGGAAATTCAATTCTCTAAATAATTTTTCCTATAAACTATAGTGAAATTTTGCTTCATTTTCGAGCTAGAATTTAAAAATTGAAAGGGGTGCATTTTCACTCCTACTTTCAATTTCCACCCTTTAATTTAATAGAACTCGGTTTTTTCATCAAAAATGAAACCTTTGAACGATTCATACAATAAAATTGCTTGAACGTCATAGTTCGTTTTAACCCTGTTTTTTTGGATATAATTAATACAGGGTGATTCACAAATGGTGACCAAAAATGAAACCTCGTATTCTTTGGTGAATTTTAAGGGGAGTCTTTCCTTTTTATCTAGGACGCTCCATTAAAAAGATACAGGGTGTTAAACTTTAAAAAATATTTTTAATATTTTTTAAATAATTTAAATAATTTAAAAACTCCGATCCTCCGATACCCTGTATCTCCGCCACTGGAGCATGTAAATTTTAGGAAAAGCCCTCAGATTTTGGACAATGTTTATATAAATACATGTGCCCAATTTCAAATTATTTCACTTACTAGTTTTTAAATTATTTAACACCCTGTTTAACGAAGCATCCTAGATAAAAACTTTATAGGGAAAACTCCCTTTAAAATCCACCAAAGAATACGAGGTTTCATTTTTGGTCAACATTTATGAATCACCCTGTATAATCAGATTTTTTAAATTTTCGTATAAGTTTTTCTGTTGGTTAAGAAGCTAGTAGGTATGCGAGAAATTCAATTTAATTTGCATTATTACAGAAAATCACCACCTACCCGCCATAAACAAGGGAAGTGGACAGCATATTTCTATTTACATTTACATTAAAAACCTAAATATGATTTTTTAACTTAATGTAAACAACGATAAGTAAACTATTACACTAACAATTTTTTTATTATGTTGAACCACTGACATACCGATTATCCTTGAAAATTTGCTTGTTATTTAATACATTATCATCTGTGAGATTAGTGAATAAATAAATAATGTCGGACAAACTTTTTGATCAATATACATAAATAATTAACGAGTAAATTATACTGTCAGAAAATTAACTCTTCTTTTTCTGTATTATCACTTTGACGTCATTACGAATTAAGTAAATATTAAACAAATGTACCAAAAAACAAAAACTTACATCTTTAATACTGAAATGATGGACTTGTTTCATATAAGTAGGCAGCTCGGTCATGAGCGTCTCATAACCATAATTGTGTCCCATATGGGCCAGGAGGATAGCCCAAAATGGCATCGATTTCACAATGGCCTTCCAAGGAATAGGGGGAATCTGCAAACCGAATACGCGATTATTAGGAAACCAACTCGTTTTCTTGAAGCCTTACCGGAACTCCAATTTTGCTTCCCAACTCTTTCTGGATGTACAGTCTCTCTTCCGAGTCCATACGAGTATTAGTCTCGGGATCTTCAAAGACGAAAATGAGGAAGAAGACGCACCAAACAGTTCCCACAGCTCCAAAAACGTAAAATATTGAGGGCCATCCCAAAGCGCACTCGGAAAGAAGACCGCTCAGAGGCATCGATATGACCGTTCCAAACTGTGCTCCTAGAAATTACAAAAAACTTACGTCATAACCGTTTAACTTCCTCGTATGAAAACAATATGAAATCGAGAATAAACTTCATATTGTCAACATGTAACTGAAAACTGTATTTCCATAAGTTCTATATTTCTATATAATAAATTTCAAGAAATATTTTGATACTTATTATTGAAAAGAAAAAATTTTCTTGAAAAATATTGCATGCCTATTGTAAGTTTCGTTCAGGTGCAATACAACAAATTTTGGAATATACAGCCTCCAGTACAGTCCACTAAGTATTAATTTAACAATATTTGTTGTTTATGTACTTAAAATATGTAATATCTCAAACACTGCAGTAGCTGATTTATCTGCTTTATAACTTGTCATTAAACTTTCAACGAAAACAAATCATTGCACAATAAATCAATTGTTCATTTGTATTCTTTTCTAGCCAGTTCTTATTTTGTAGATAGTTCACTAAACATACTGACAGAGGATTTACAGAATTGATATATCATATTTCTATGACATAATTATTAATTTTAAACATTTTAAGTATGTTGTAAGTATATCGCTATTATCTACAAATAAATTCCTTTGGCAACTAATCATAAGTGGCAATTTATCCAATACATACATGTTTTCATGTAAATCCTCCGTTTGTGGAAACACTCCTTTCACTAATCGTAACAATATATTTATTAGCAAAGCTTAAATATGATAAATAAAAATTAATGAAAAGTAAAATTTCCCCAAACTTTGTTCCAAAAAATCCAAGTATGAAGATGATTACAAAATAAAAGTAGATACCTATTAAGCAACAAAGCTTATCTGTTCTAGATAACGACCTATAGCAGAACTAGGATGCATTTTTTCAACTTTGCCGGCATAAATTTACATATAAACAAATAAAACACCAGGCCCTTTTGTAATAAAACGACAATTGCCTAGTGTTTTCAAACAAACCTCTCAAACTCAGATACATATTTATGCCGCTTCTCAACATACCATGGCCGGTCATATATCAGCGGAATTTGTTTATGGATTCGATCTACCGGATCGAGTATCTAGTAGTATCGATTTTGTTAGAAAGGGTCCTGAATTGAGGTCATTAGCAGATCTAATGCATAGCCAGACCAATTCTCCCAAAGGTATAGTATGGTCATCCATTTACTTTGAAAGAATTGGTCCATGCAAGGCAGTTGCATCGATTCTTTCATACTTTATATCATTTATATGATGATGAAAAAATAAGAGAAATAATTGGATCTGCAATAATTTTGATGCAGTTGCTTGCCATGCTAATTTACCTATAAGCAAAGAAAATGGTTAAAATGTTTCAAGAATTGGAAACCAAGAGACTAAAAATAGTCTACATTTGTTAATTTGTATATTTCATTCACTGGAAATGCACGTCATATGTAGAATGTTTTATTTGTAGAACAGATCAAGTCCATTTACTATGTAGTTGACAAAAATCAGATCGGAGTAGCCGGTTGAAGTTGATCAGTTTTTATAATGATACGACAGACTTAGTCGTCAACTAGAATGGAACATTCGATCGGAATTTTTTTGTAGACTTGTTCCAGAAAGAATCAAATCCAACAAATCTGCTGGCGTATGGCCGGCCATTAAGATATAAAAAAATAAAAACTGCCTATACTGCGAATTAGTTATAATCAAACCACTGCATTGCCTACATACCCATACAGTTATCGTAAAATATTTTCTACTACTATAATGCCATCTCTCGAAATTGCAGAAGTATAATACCTGCATAAACGAAAGCGCCCATTCGACTTCTCTCATTAGGGGGGATCCATTTTGCCAGAAGAGCGTGTGTGCATGGGACAATAGGGCCCTGACCAGAAAGGTACGATTGAAAACCAATACCAGGTACGAAAGTGAGAGTTCGAATATATTTTTGTCTCTATTTCTGTCTAATAGCCATTTTTGTCCCAAATAGGAAATACACGATTGCCATTAAAGTGACAAAAATAGGTCTCTCACTTTGTACTTGTTAAAATTGCCTACTCACCTCACCGAGGCCTTGTATAAACCTCACAGTTATCAGCCACCAAATACCCATATTCGCAGCTACCGGTACCAACAGACCAAACACGGAGTTGATCAGCATGCCTACTCCCAGAAAGTAGATATTTCCATATCGTTTTGATAATATACCAAAAGGAATCTGAGTTATCACATATCCATAAAAAAATGAACTCAAGACATAACCCTGGATATCTGTCTCCCACAGGAATTCTCCATCGGATTCACTACTTGAGGTCTGAAATGAATATTTATATGGGTAGGTACAACATCTTGCTGAAATGACTTGCATTTTCTAAATGAGTTGACGTTGCTAAATTTAAATATTCCAGTTTTTACGAAGGTTTTCTCGGAAAACAATAGTGCGATAAAACGTACACGAGCAACAGTTTTCAACGTTGCGGTTTGCTGCTAGTTATAAAAACAATTAAAAACCAATATCTTTCTTGTAAAGGATTTCTATACAGTCCAATTTGTATTGATGTAATATTTATTTTAAACAAAGCAATCAAGAATGCAAGTAAATACTTGTTCAGAGTAAAAGCCTACAATAGTTGTACTTACCGTTGTATTATCAGCGATCACTCCACATTCGTCATCAACAGATGAAGACTCAGAATCACCAGATATGGCTGTATGGTTAACCATAGCCACTATGGCTACAGACATGTTTGTCCTCATGATGTACGCGTTGGCCATTCCCAGGAAAAGCATGAATGTGACAAAGTGTCTCGCCCCAAACCTTCCTAAGAATCCTGCAACAAACATAATAATTGGTCAGTTTCTTAAATATTTTTTTTATCAAAGTAAAAGAAAGAGCTATGTAACAGTGCAGATCAAAGAATTTTGGTTACTAAAAAAAATCAGTCTCTACTTCAGTCAGTATTCTAACCTTGAAATAATCAAGTTCCATGATTAAAACTCTCCCCTGTGATACATTTAAATCTGTAGTATGCATCAAACATGCATTTTTATCGACAAACTAATGACAAACGTGACAATTAAATAATTAAAGAAGGGAACTGAAAGGACTTAGGGCCGGTTTTTCACTTTTTTTTCTTATGTTTTAGTGGAGAAGCAATAATTTTCATTTAACATGCAAGCTTTTAACAAAGAATGAATTTATAAATTCGTTTTTAACTTTTTTTTCTTTACTAATCTATGAAAACTCCAATACAAAAAGTAACAATTAGTTAACCAGAGATTGAAAAATCGGCCCTTAAATGTTTAATAGTTAAATTAAGAAATAGTTAAAGCAAAACATTCATGGCTTCAAGAAATGACTTTCCTATATTCAAAAGGGAGATATTTAGTTTTGCGTAATTAAGGAGCGCATTAATTTACCGCAGCGATAAATTAGTTTCCAGTTATTGATATAAAATTCAAAGCGGTTGGATACCTTACTCTGACGACATAACTTCCATCATTTACTTTGTCAGTATACATTTTTATTAATTGAAGACTTGTACCTCAACCACTTTAATACAATGTTTTACATTTTGTAACTCCCAAATCCGAATTGATCCTCATCGCCTAGCAACTAAATTATGTCAATATTTCATTTACCTGGTACTAAAATTTTGTCACTGTGCCAGGCAGCATTTTTAACTCAATCTACAAATCTTGCAACTGACTCAAAACAAATTTGAAATAAATACAACCGACCTACGTTAAGGTAAATAATTAGAATCTCGGATCCGATACCTACGTAGCTAATTTATAAGCATTAAATACATATTAAGTGGTGTTAATTTGGTAAGAAAAACTTATTTGTAACGTGGTTTTAAAATTAAGTTTATCTAAAGAATAATATAATAAGGTTCCCGAGGTTATTAAGACCCGCCATAACTATATAACAGCTAAGTACAATCTGCTGGCTATCTATAATATCTGGAACACTTAAAATTGATCCTCCAAACTTTTACGCATCACTTTGAGGAAAGGAATGTTTTCAAATCATCATCAGCAATTAAATTCAAACTTATCTAAACTATCTGTTCCCATATTTATGCGTTTTACTTTCCACTACACTGTCTTATATTCAGTCTTACTCCAGTGTCTACTAAAACAAGAACAACGTTGAAATACTTTCTATCATTACTCATTTCTTAACTTTATGGGAATTTTTCTATTCTGGTGACCAAAATACATTAAACGTTTTGCAAATGGGCTCATTCAGCAATTTTTTTCAGCACTGATAAAGATAAAGTTGTGGTTTTTATTAAAAAAAAATCCATAACCATTAACAAACCTACTTCTGGCAAATTAGAAGAATCTGTTTTTACAAAATTTACTTCCATTTTTTAAATTTAATATGCAGAAACGCTAAAACATTCTGTAGATGTAGAAACTCATTTGGAAGTAGCGCCAAGCCGGTTGACCGTCCCATGCGGTGACGTCACTGCATTGCTGAGACAAATCTTCGCATTTTAAAAATCATATAGTTTGAAAACCGTTCAACGGATTGTGTTGAAATTTTCAGAATCGCCTAATCATATTTGGTGTAAACAAAATAAGAACATTTTTGAAAATTTACAGAATGACCACATTATTTTCAATCCATATTCTTAGCAAGTAATTTTTCTACGAGTCACTACAACAATCCTCAACGTTTTTCAGTTTAAAGATACGTTAGAAGCAATTATAATGTTGATAAACGACATTGCAAAATAGTTTAAAAAGTTTCAAATGTATTGATTTATTCTCAATGGCCGCCAGAATAGCACTGATTACAACTGATAATTAGGTTTTATTATGAGCACTGTTAATATTGTATTGTACATAAAATATAGGTAGATAAATACCTATAGATTATATAAAAGTACGTAATTTGTAAATGTAAATTATTGCACGCTTTTTAGAGAACAAAAAATAGTTTACAGGTAAAATTTAAAAGAAAAAAATGTTTTTATGATGATCTTTTCTTGACGTTTTTTTTTCATAAATGCAACTGTAAAATATCAAAATTATGTTAAAAAACAACATAATTTATAAAATTATATAAATATTATTAATCAGTTTCTCATATTTTCTCCGATTGGAAGAGAGATATCCAGCCAGATCAAGCACAAATTTTTCAAGTTTAAAATATCAAAGGTCTCCCTAGGAAGTTGATCAGCTGATTGTCATATGGGTTGTGACTATCTCGAAAACAATTGCGGAAATTAATGTTCGAAAAATAAACACATTCGGTATATAACATTTACGTTTACAGACACCGAGAGACATAATTCGTTTTCGTTAAAGTGAAAGAAATCCCGAAATTCTGCATTGAGATTTATTACCTATCATACCCGGCTAATAAGGAACTCTTAGATTATTTAATGGCTCTACTGACTTAATTACTGCAACCAACTAACATCTTCTGTATCGTATTTCGTAAGACCTAAGCAACTGTGTTGCATCCATGTCTTCCGGCATAAATAACAAAATCAATCTTCTTCTTGGAACTTGATATCTAAGAACTGCAACATTTATTACAATTTTTATCCTAAACAGATTGAGCAACAAACACGCTACTTCTATGTACTGTAAATGGGCAAGTCGGTTGTATTTAGCGAAATTAAAATTGTCTTAACTTCGCAAATAACAGTACAATTACCATTTGAATAGATATTGAATCGAACGACATGATTTCATGGTAATTAGCGTGCCCTTGTGTATTGTCATGGGTACGAAATATAAAAAAATGTATGATGCACAGGATATCCGATCTACTGTGATCTGACCAAATATAATCCGCTTCAATGTCAAAATAATTAGAATCAGAGCCTGCGAGTCTTCACTGAAGGTTTAATTGACGATTTACAAATTCATGTATAATGTACATGTGTACGATGACTGTAATTTAACATCAATAACGGATCTATAAGATTGACATCGACCATTTAAATTTAATTTTACATGATAGTCGCAAATGACACCACCAGAAAATCTACTATTAAACATTTTTCGATCAACATTTTATACATATATCTATTTTTTTCTACTTGAATTTATACCGAGATGCAACAAAACCCTCGACAAGTTGAGAATAAAAGAAACGTGACATTCCATGATTGAAATCTGAACGATATAAAAATATATCAGAACAACCTATTCACACATTTCAATCGACATTTGCAAATATAAATATAATCTGATATTTTGGTATATACATGGTTTCATTATATTTCAGCTGCTTTCAAAGACATAGCAACTTAAAATCAAATAGCTAATACAAAGTAATAATATATAAGTTCAGTGATGTAGTTTTCACCTTGGTTTTCACACTTACACTAGTATATACATGTAAATCACGTTTAAAAGTGCCAACATTTTGGCTTGACAGATTTGGATAATAAATTTGACGAAAATTCAATTTTTTTCCATTGCTGATGTTGACAAAAAAGTTTGGCAAATTATCTTCCAATGCTTAGCGTTACGGTCAGATGGTACGGACGGCATATCATCACTTTAAAGAATCCCTTCAGGAAACTGGTTAAACAAACACAGACTACTTAGATTATTGCAGATGGTGAGCAATACAAAAAGATAAATGATAAGAAGGTATCTCGGAAAGTATGTATCCGTTTGAAGAGGAAATTCCTAAATTTTAGGAAAAATATTTGTACTTATTTCACCATATTTTTGTTCTGCTTTGTTTTTTATAAAAACAATATGTTTTTACAAATTTGTTTACATGTAGCTAAGTGAGGATTATGGATTTATTGATAACAAGTAAATTTAGATACAAGTGTATTAAGAACATAAAAGGGAAAAGTAATTATATTTTGACAATTATTTCCAAGCTACGAAAATTATATTAAATTTAGTCCAAAATAGATACATATTTAGGATGGTAAAAGATAAGCTGGTTTAAATCATTAAAGGATTAACCGATTTTAATGCGGATGATTAATTAAAGGAAACCACGACTTCAATAAAACATATCAAAAATGACACATTGAACTTAGAAACAGATTCTATTAACAAAAAATTCTGAAAATATATTAGAAAACATAACATTTAAAAAATATGAACAATCTACATTCTGTAACAACGGAGAACAACGAAGACTTTTCAACGTTTAAAGTTTAGACCATTATAAATGGCTGTTACAAATTCGCTTTTCACTACAGGGATCTCGGAAACGGTAAGAGATACGAACTAGCTTAAATGGAGACACAGTTACATAATCAGAGGATCAACATTATGCCTCTAAAAAATCGAGGCTAACATGATTAGTTATTAGTTAATATTTGAAAAAAAGAAACGAAATTTTGGAAATCCGTTTTCGTTTCATTTCAGCCTTGTTTGAGGTGAAATTGAAAAAAGAACATTTTCTCATGGCAACTTTTTGCCCTCTATCGAATGGCATGATCAATTTTTATATGTAACGTTTCGTCTCTACAGGACCATCATCAACTTCATTTTTTAAATACGACCCTGGAAATTTTATTACATTTTTTACAAGCCTTCCTGACCCCTAATACTGTATTGTCTCAGCCCGAGCCAGATTCAGACGTATTGTCTCGAAAAATTCATCTTCAATGTATTCGTTCCAAATTTATCTAATTTTTTTAGATTTGTATGTTTCTTGAATCATCGTATACTCTAAGTGTCGTTAGACCTTGGAAATCCACCTAGTTATTTAAACTATTACCATCACACGTTACAATTAAACATTATTAGAGAAATACCAAGCGGTGCAATTTTCTTTCTGATAAAATATGATTTCCAAATTTTTCCTTAAACAAAATAACATACACAGGTGAACCCATTTTTCAGTTTGAAAGAAATATATAAATTTGACATAATTTAAGTTGCCAGCTGGGTAAATTACTGAATATTTTCTGATATTTTGCACGACAACTTAGAGGGAAAGCAACATAAATATGGCACACACCTAATATTCCTCCCTTTTTGGCGAATTCTGGTGAAAAATTCGTGTACAAACATGACTGACATGTAACGCTGTACTAAAAATAAAGCGATTGTGTCAATACAATTTGGTTTACTGGCAACGCTAAGCACGGGCGATCCATCATATGAAATGTAGATATAATGACTACGAAAAGGTTATATTATTTAATGGACTCCGGTCGATAAGATTTTTATTACCAATTTTCGTCAGATCTATTAATAATCGTAAGCAATACAGAATAGCACTGCAACGTTTAACTTTAATCAATTTGTCGTACCTATTTGCTAGAACAATGTCACATTAATGTGATTTGATTGATTGATTTCAAGCTCGCAGCTGGCGACTGGAGCATTCTTCTCGGAAAATTAGACCAATTGGTTCTTAAATGAAAATATTTACCAACTTATCGCGAACTTCACTATTATCGGTGTATTTTAAGAATAAACAATTAGCAAAAGTAATGATCTGTCATTCCCTTTCCAATTAACAGCTATGACTTTTTTTTATAAAACACAGAAACAAAATCATCTGATATGACCTTTGGGCCCATAAAGCATGACGACAAGCCATGTGAGATAAAAATGAAGTAATTAGAATTTTGCGATAACAATTGATGCTAATTTATAAGATGAAAGAGCCAAGAAACGTCTAGAATCGTATGGAAAATATTTTAAGAAGAAATTTGAATAACATACGAACTATTTCTAATTCAACAATTAGCTGAGACATTTTAACAAAAGGATCTAACAAAGAGAAGCATTTTTATAACTGAGGAATTCAAACAAGCACAGCTTTCAAGTATTGAAGGAAACAAAAACATTTTCTGGAGCTGCAAAAAACTGAAGGTAAGTTGTCAAAATTAATTTAAATGAAACTTATCGTTTTAACTTTCGAGACTTCTATACTTACACAGAATGAACCCTACTGCTTTACCAAACTTCCCAATCATTGCATTAAATGCAGAAATCTAAATGTAAGCACTTTTGTCTACACCTGACAGGTTATTCAATATGAATACATGGTACCTACACGCTAAATCATTTTGAGGAACCAATACCGCTGAGTTAATAAATCAGAAGTAACTGTGAATTGTAATGTGAATTTTGGAAGGTCAAAAACAAGACCGAAAGTGTAGGAAAGCATACCAGACAGTTAAAAAACTAGATAATGGTGTTCCAAGAAGCAACCGATTTAAGACCACCATGAGACTTTAAATTGGTCGCGAAAGCTACCAGACAATGAACTTGTAGTTAACAGAACACTAAATAAATATATTGATGAGTCGCCAGACACTTTCAGAGAGATTTTTCAACGAGATTGTTCCTATGTATTTATCATGGAAATTAAATACCTATTAAAATATGTATATGATTCCTTTTTTCAAACTGAGACCTAAGATTTTTTCTTTCGTATGGGTTAATTTTGGTATAATAACAATTAAAAAATATAAAACATTATTACATAAAAATTATTTGCACGGCTACAGTTTTAGAAATGAAAACAACACAAGTACCTGATTACAAACCTGTAAAATAGAAATATGTATAAAATATAACGCAATGAAAGACAAATCAGCCGTTTTAATAATTAAAAAGAGTGATCTCTCAATTGTCGGTGGTGTTGTTTATTTAATCAATTTATGTACAATCTGCTGTTAACGGATTCTAATTCTGATCAAGAACATTTTGCGAGTAAGATCCAGAAGATATGACGTACCTATATTGCGTTTAATCATAACAAAATAGGTAGCATAGATTTGAACAAATATGTATTTTAAGTATCTGATTTCTGGTATACCAGATATAGGATCTATTATTTTATTATATCAGTTAGGCTTAAACAAAATTTCCTAAATTTATAATATTTTAAGTAATTGTGGAAATAAAAAGCTGTACGCGTACAAGTGAAACTAGCAATATCAACTGAAGTTCATATAAATCACGATTAAAAAAAGTCAGAAATCACAACAGTTTTTTCATTCATGATAATTCATTTTCTAAATATCCTATTTAAATGCTCAATTGTCTGTTATTTTTGTACTCGTTTTATTCATTTCGTGAAATTTATTGAATTTGTAGTCGTAACTGTTAATAAAAAATCATTGACTTAATCATTTCAGTCCTGAAATACTTACGTCTTTAAGGCTCTGAGAAAATACTTTTTGAATACGCCAAATTATGTCAAAAAATGCAGGTCATGACGAAAGTAGCCGAAAAAATAGACGATCCTTAAGTAAGCACAGCATGTTATTTATAAAAATCTAAAAACTGCTTGTTTTAAAATTAGTGGTTTGAAGAATTTACGATTTAAGTATTCATAAGTAAATTAGCAGTAGATGCCCTGTAACAGTCCAATAGAAATGTACGGTATTCAAAGTTTGATGCGTACAACGTGAACTTTCAACTGAGGGAGTTAAAATTTAGTTTCAATAAACAAAAATATATACAGATGTTCTCTTTGTTGTACCTAGTCGGACGGGCTATAACAAAATCCCTTTAATTTAAAAAATTAAAGCCTAGTAAATCTGTGATGCAATGATTGGCATGGCCTAAATCTTCTTTCGAACCTATCAAACATTTCTCTGAAATAATTACCATATTCTGGGGAAAAACGTGCTACCAATTTCTGTCAACAATTAATTATTATAAACTGGTTAATTTGTTGTTAATGTGAATGTACTGATCGCGATCCCGAATCCCGTAAATGTAATAATTGTGTTTAGATAAATCGCAGATTGTATTGTATAGGTACTCATCTTAAATATTGTGCAATAGCGAAAAATTTTATCGCAAATTTTACAACAGATAATCAAGGTTTACGGCTAACCAGACATGTGATATTAGAATGATTTTTATAACCGATATTAGCTTAGTTGTAGGTACACAAACTAGAAAATAGACGTTACATTCTGAAGTTTATTCGGGGAAGTTATTTAATATTATCTACAATAACTGCTTATCTCAAATCCTGGGCTCTGCACAAAAAGCGAAATAAGATTATCTGTATTAGTCTTCGCTTATTGCTTATGTTGTAACCAGTCTATTTTAAACTATACCGCCATAATAAAATATAACCTACAATACCCGGCGTATACGTAGAGCACGTGTTCGACGAATTATGCACGCTGTCACTAATCGAATACGATATTTTCAAGTGAAACATACATACCTTTCTTCTTTTTGACGAGAACATCACCATTTTCCTGTTCGAAGACTGCCGTAGCCACCGTAGTGTACCTCGTATTGGGGTAGTTATTGCCATTCCTTACGTCCCCGTTCATTTTTTATTAAGTATATTTAGATACTAAATTTAACTTTCAACTATTTGACTAACTATACGAAACTCTGTTTCATATTTAAATACGTCTGTTAAACAATTAAAAAACTAACAACTAAAACAAGTAACAAATAACCAATAAATAATTGTATTGTACTTTAGGCGGCAACAATTACAAATTGCTTGTTAGTTTAAAATTAAAAGCAATTTTCGATAACCGAATACTATTTAAGCCTTTTTCGTTTTCTCGTCAGAACTAGTGTGAATAAATTAAATAGTAAAAATAATTTCATAATCGACCATTCAATCACTAATGTCTTCTTCTCAGATTACGCCGGTATGTGGGATACAATTCACTCGGATAAACTTTTGTTTCACTGTTTTCTTACTTGCAATCACTTCGACACTGTTTTATAACGACTTTGATATTTTGCGTTTATACATAATAGCTTTTATGGATTAAGTACGAGTGTGACATGCCGACAATATCGAGCACTTATACCACCACTCCTCGCCTGGACTGAAATATACGCATACGCAAGTGATTAGGTTCGATACCGTTCTACGCATGCCCGTCAACATCTACCTACTTTGATTGTGGTGCTGACCCAGGCACCGACGGTATTGGCGCGCATTTTCAATTTAAGGTTATCCCGCCGTATGCCATGATCTCGTCGCATGCAGTTCAAGGAAATACACGTAGGAACCATCTGAATTGAGAACCGTATTAAGTATATTTTAACTTATCACTGACAGAGTTAAACGTTTGGAAATTCCGTTACACCACTTCCTAGATGTTTTTAGAATTTTATAGAAATGTGAGTATTGCGTTCATATTTATTTTTAACGCGAATTGATATTTTGGAATCAGAGTAAAAGAAAACAAAACAAATAATAATGCAGTAAACACAGGAATTGTCACTGAAGAAAAAAAGCCAAAAATCGGAGAAGAATAATGTTGTGCTTTATCAGAGACATCATTAAATAAGTTCATTAAATATGTAACATAATAATATTCGGAAACTCCCAACATCAAAACATTGCTTTTGGGAAATAATGTAAATACTGTTATCGGTGCTTTGTCTACTCTTAACAGTGACTTTGGAGCAGTTTTGTGGAATAGTCTTCAGAAGTAGGTAGCGTCACACACATGATATCGCTAATATCAATTTTTTCTTCAATATTTTTTCCGTCTTTGAAAGATAAAAGTCCTGGAGTATTTAGATCCTATGAATACACATGATATTTCAACAGGTATTTGTTTACAGCTAAAGCCTGCCCAGACAGTGTCATGTGAGTAGGTGCTTGTTGTGATGGCTTCATGGCCTGTTTACAGTAACTTCAGGTCTTTCCCATTTAATCTTTTGACACAATTTTGCAATACCTTCAAAATATCAAAATAACAAATCAACAAGTCCCAACATGACCAAATATTGAAAAAGGGATATGATTGTTTTGCTAAAAACTCTTGCATTAACAATATAATTAAGTAATATTAGATGTTCTTGACTAGGAAACAGATGATTGCGATGAAACTTCATCCCTGAAACTACTTTATGTTCTCAAAGATAAATAAAATAGTACAAAACCACTTTCTTCATCAGAAAATTTTAATTTCCCGAATAATTTCCTCCTCATTTCTCATTTTTTGAGATCTATATGTGCTACGGATTATAGAGTTTATCTAACATAATGTAACTACCAAGATAAACCCTTATAGGCATTTGTACAATTTTCGTCAGTAAAAGTAGACCAATTACTTTAGTCAGCCCCATGTGAGACATTCTTAGATCAAAATTAGAACAACGCCAATATTAATATACTTGTAGTTGTTAAATAACATAAAATACTTTACCACAACCTTTCAGATTTGTTTGTAGATTACAACCAGATAAAAATAATTTTTGTTATAACTTTTAATATCATTCACAATATTTATAATATGTAATATCATTAATCAAACCTGTGACGCATGTGGATTACGTTATAAATTCATAAAAACTACTGATAGTTAATTATTAGCTACTTATAGAAGTTATTTTACTTCCTTATATTGATGCATTGTATTTTTTTCATTTTAACGCTTTCCGCGACCTTTCTGGGGTGTCCGTTACGCTACTGACTCCAACAATTATTGTTTTTCTCGGAATGACACTGATTCATTCCTTATCTACTCCATATATCTGTGGGAGTATCTCGTACGTAATACCATGGCATCAGCATCTTTGAGAGATGATTAACTTTTTTTCTAAAACAGTGATTCTCAAACTTTCAGCATGCGCGTACCCTCTTTTCAGACATTGATTTTACTTTACCCCACATTTGAGAAGAGCGGCTGAAGGGAAAGGAAAGATATTCGTGATTCATATAATTCTGGTAAGCGTCTCCTTGAGCTTGCAAATGAATCATCCGAAAATGCAGTATTATTTTTGTTGTGGTAGGCGGAAGAACGGCATATGAATGCGGATGAAAATACAAGGTGTCCGGACTTTGTAGGAGAATCTACTCGGAAAATTAAGTTCCTGTGAAAACTCAATAGGCGGAGTTATGTAACCACAGCTACACTTTTATTTTAATAATTTGCATTTTAATCATGCATCTAAAACATGTTTTTTCAAATTTGGTATACTTATCAAGAAATTGCACCTATGAAGAAAAAAAAATCTGTTTGCAATTTTGTTAAAAAATTAAATAATTTGATGTAACCCTTTCAAAAAAATACAAAAAGTACCAAATTCCAAATCACCCAAAGCATTTAATTAATTAAAAAACGTTGTGAAATTTGAAAAAGAAATTACAACGGAAATTTTAGTCACAATAAGTACCTATACCTTCCCATGGAAAACATTAATGTTTTCTTCTGGATTATGGTTAAATTTGGGCTACTTATCAAGGAACTACACCTAAGTATGAAGAAAAAATAAACAGAATTTATATTTGCAATTATATTAAAAAATTAAATTATTTGATGTAACATTTTCAAAAAGTTAAAATATGCCAGATTCCAAATCATTTAAAACATCTAATTAATTAATTAATTAAAAGGTGGAAAACATTATTATGTTTTTTCCTGGAATATAGTTAATGTCAGTGACAGAACAAGAGGACCTTTTCGATAGATTTTTTAATTATTTAATATTAACGTTAATTTTTTTCTAGTCAATAGGAACTACGTTAGCTGATCATCAGAATAAAAGTCGAAAATTTGTAAAAGATTGCTTGACTGAAAAAAGCTACAAGGTTTTTGGAAATTATTTCTAATTTACTGCTTACAATGCGAACAAAAAATAATAAAAATTTAAAAAATGTACACAAAGACAAGAAAAAATTAAAACGTATCAAATTACAATTGTCCTGATGCAGCAACGATTCAGTTCAGTTCAATTGTTTCGGTTTTTATATTGTATATTCAAATCCTTGACATTTAAACACTGGGGATCTTTCATCACTCTATAAAGCATAGCACAGGTTTCTTTATCTATATTATCTTTCATATTAACTTTTAGATCCCACAGTTTGATTTTTGTTCTTCGACCTTAGTCAATAGCTCGGAGTTAATAACTTTTCCATTCTCAACAATATAACTTAAATGTAACTAGGTCCTTTAATATCAGCTATGAAAATTTTAATTGTTCTCTTTCTCTCGTACGAGCTGTTTCTTTTAACTGGGTTTGAGAAATACTATCCAGAAATATTGACCAGGAAAAGAGTTGTCTTAGACAGGATAATGACTTATTATCTAAAATTAAGGTCTAATCAACCATTTACGTTTGCGCACCTATTTCAATCTCTTTAGGTTCATAATGATTTATTTTTTCGTGACACATGTGATTTGAATATTCATAGAAACATTTTTTATTTAATAATTCCTTTCCAATATCGTTAAATTTTTACTGTTCCTCAGATGAAAATTAAGTTCAAAATATTTAAATTAAAATAATTGTAAAACCAGCCATCGTGGTCGATAGACTGGCGAATATTTTCCAGCAACAGATTCGCTAATTTATGCGGTATTATTTATGGATATTATCTCCGACAGTGATAACAGAAAATTGTATTTTTCTCTACATCAGGGTATGCGACCATATTTTGACAATGTTTGCCTCGAAACCGTATTTTTATTTTTGGTTTATTTGGCATTTTACAAAGGTCACGGTTATTTCTTTAAATACAAATAAAAACCATCCTAAACAAAAATTTGAAATACTTAAGATTGTTTTATTCGAATCCATGGTAATGACGAATAAAGTTTTTTTTTTCAAGGTTCAGGAAACTATTGCCACACAACAATAAAACATTAAATCTTATCTCACTATTAAATAAATATGTACCTGCGATTATTCTTAAATATACGCATGGTATTGCAAAACTGTTGAAAAAATTTTGTAGTTTGTGACATTAAGTAAATGCAAATATGTGACGATAACTGCAAAATAAATATAAAAAGTGAATGTGTATCACCTGTTGTGATTATTTTAGTACTCGTGGTTTTATGAAAATATTATCTAAAGACGAAAGTCCATTTCAGTTGCGCTATATTTACTTCACCTATTGTTATAAATTTGTTTGGTATTAAAGCTGCCTGGAAATAGATATTTCTTTTTCCTTCAAAACTGAAGACGCTAAACAGTGATAGTAAAATATTATTCAACAGAGGGACATCTGTTCAAATGACCGTATGATTGTCGCTTATATTAATTAGAATACATATTGGAGCAGAATATTGTGATATTACTTATCCATATAGCATGTGTATAGAATATAATTACGTTTAATTACATGAATGTCTACAGCGTGGCTCATTAAGAACAGAAGAATAAAATTTCTGATACACAATAGCTCTACACTGAAAGAAATGGGCTTATTAAACTGTTTCTCTAGAATAACGTAGTACAGCGCATATTAAAACTTTTGAACAAATATACAATTTTTATTAAAAAAAAACACACATCCTCATTCATTATTCAATTAGTTTAACGGAAAAACGCTTAATACACCTTATGCTATGTGAATACGCCCGGTATGTAGAATAGATATCCTAGCGAACCGCTGGTGTTCGGCCACCGGTTTTTGTTAAATATTTTTTATTATTTTTTTCTTTTTTTTTAGTTCGATTCAAGCGCGCAGAGCGGTTGTTGTATTTTTCGGTTCGTTGGAAATAGTTAATAGTTGTTGTGTACAATTGGTTTTGTGAAGTGAACCCCTTTGAAGTCGAGTGCATTCTCTTCTTCCCTTTCCTTTTGCCATCGACTTAAAGAAACATTATTGCGTCACATTTTGGTGAGTTTAGTTTAGTTTAGTTTTTTTTTATATATACAGTCCACTTGGAAAGGGCTATTTGGGCCCAACCACTATGAAATATAAGTTATAACGAATTACTTGTATATTATTATGTGTTATAAGCTTTATTTTCCATTTGTATAGTAGGGAAGATTTGTTATATAAAGACCAATGTACGAGTCTTTATATAACAGCTGTATTAACAGAATTGTTCGTTTTGAAAATGATTA